GGAACCAAGCAGGAAAAAAAAATACAAAGTAACTGCAGAAAAACAACAAATTAACTGTAACGCCATTATCAGTCTCTTCAGAGAAGGAGTTAAATAAAAGAGGAAAATGGTTATCTAATGCCAGAAAAAGGTCACTGAATCATAAAGGTTGGAAAAATCACTAAGATCATCTATCTAGACCAATGATTAAAAAAGTGCCTGAAGATGAGACAGGACAAGTTACTCCAGGAAGAGTGGGTTTAAACTGCCTGAATCTGAATTAGTCAGTCACAGATGTATACCAAAAAGGGCAGAAAAGCACCAGTTGGGAAAACACAGGCAAGCAGTGAGATTCAAGATATTCTTTGATACTAAAGCCCCAGAAAATAAAGGTCCAGACTGATTTGAAATGCAGAAAAAAAAAAAAATCTGCTTTACGCTTTCAATGAACTTTATCAGAAGTCTAACAGCTGTTCTCTTGATTACCAGGCTAAGAAAGTAGAATAAAGCTACTCCTTACTAACTAGCTTTTCCATACCAGCTTACTCCAGCATTAAGATGTGTTGGAGCAAACTGATCATTTTAAGAGCAAGAATTCTCTAAACCCTGGCTACATGAACTGAGTAATTCTAAAGGACTAAGACCAAGGCTGTAACAAAGAGGCTACCATTCTCCTGAGCACAACATGCTACAACTGACTCAGAAAAGGTGGCAGATGTAATCCTGGACTACTACATACTTACAGATCTTTCGCTCATCAGGTGTCTTAAGTAAGACACTATCTTTTCAATTTTACTTCTCAATTTAAGTAGACTGAACAGAGAAACACAGCCCATTTATCTGTAAGGGTGGTATGACCTTGGTCCACTCAGTAATTTATTTCTTGCTCTGAACAGACCCCAACAACACACCCACACTACGCATGCAAGACTACAAAAGTTAACTCAGCAATTCTGTGGCTGATGCCAAATAACTTTCAATAGAGCTGCAATAATCTGCAGGAGAAACTAACTCCCTTCTTCCAGTACTGTTATGAAGGGAGTACATAGAAAACCTTCCCAAAATTCTGGCTTTCAGTACTCAGATAGCACCACACTCAAATCCGAGAGAGGAATGCAGATTATTTTTTTTTTTGCCAGAAAAGCATAATGCAGCAATGTCTGACTATGTCTGTAGTTTTAAAGCACTGCCCTTCATTACCACTCTGCAGAAAGAAAAATTATTCCTTGGTATATCCTCACCACTCTTGGATGCTCTCTTCTCAGCTAGACACAGCCCTCTTCCACTGTGCTTATTTCTCTTCATAGGCACTGGAGAACTGAATGTTTTGGGAATCCTACACCTGTACAGCTCTACAGCAGCACCAATTAGCTCAGTAATACAATTCCACTGGTTTTCCTCGTAGTCCAGCAGGAAATAGAGATTCCACTTTTCTTCAGTTGCTCCCTGTGAAAAATCTCATGCATACTTGAACCTGCTTCAGGTTTTTTTTCTGATTTTTCCCCAGTTCTAGAATTGCCTGTGCTTGTTTCAGAGCCCCCACATTTTGCTCCACTGATGTTCTACTACAATGCACCTGAACAGCTGAGACAGCAAAGGGCAAAGCAGGCAGAAGACTGCAGGATAAACCAGGGTAAAGGGTCAGCTAAGTGGAATCTACAATGCTACAAATATTTGCTGGCAAAGCAGTTTGCATACGACAACAGAAACTGTTTCCACTTGTTATGACTGGAAAAACTACTATAAACCAAAAAAAAACCTCAGCATCAGCAATAGCACAAGAAATATTATATGGCCATCCTGATAAAATATAGAGTTCAAAGAGAAAAATCTACATTCCATTCACTTGTAATACTAACAGTTTTGAATTTTTGGGTCAGAAAAGAATTCTACATCTTTTTGACTGAGATGCACCAAACCAGCTTTTGTTCTTAATTCCCAACATTTTTTCCAAGTATGTGTTTGGTTTGCTGGTTTCTTGTTGTTGTTTTGTTTTTTTTTTTTTAAATCCCCTCCTGATTTGGTATTGCATAACAATGGAGACAGAACTGGAATTCTATCTACAGTGAGTTGGCTAAATTAAAAGAGGACATTAGAAAAAAAATGGGAAAGAGGAACAGGTCATATCAGGTAAGCTGCCTAGAAATCCTAACAATATTAAAATATACATATATTTGGAAATAATTATATTTCTTCTTAATACTGAGAAAAAAAAACAGTCAATCATGGAGTTAGTTAATACTAATAGAGACCCCAGGAGCTACTGCTGCCAAATTTTGATCAAGTTCCCGTTTGAATGGTTCCTACCCCAGGGCATAAAAGCAATTGTTGTTGCATGTTTATTTGGGCTTTTGGAAAGTTTCAACCTCTTGCTTTCCCCTGATGGTAAGGCTCATCAATTTTCCCCCATTTTTCTTTTGTCTTTCTGGTCACCATCACATAATTAGGACTAAGTCCTAAAATCCCTTCACAGGGCTGTAATGGCAACTGATCACACTGGTCTATCTTTGAGATGTCCAGTTACACAAGCAAATACAAGGCAGCACAACACTACCCATGCATAAACCTACACATGTACCCCAGATATTGGTACCTCCTACAGATCAGTAGCAGAACCCTTCACTCTTCTCCTGAAAAGAAGAGTATTAAGCATTCAAAAACTACACTCAGAACAGCTTTACACAGGTCTGCTGCAGCCCCCCTTCCTGGGGCACAGGAAGTTTAAAACCAATGTTCTAAAAATGCAATGGTATAACTGAACACTTATTTTAACTGTAAGGTTCAACTACCACATCTTAAAATGTTTTGGACTGCTTCCATTCTATCAACCACCTACTCAACTGAACACGTACGCCTGGTTCCATTAATCCCTTATCCCCATGCTTCTGAAATTCAGCACGTGCCTTGCCTTATAGGTATGCAAGCTTGTGCTCCAGCTTTGACTCATTAACAGCAGTGAAGGTACTTTTATCTCTACAGTGTGTTTTTGAGAGTTCTGCTCTCCCTCCTCTCCTTAAATGACTAGTAAGAATTCCAGTGATCTTTATTCACTCTTATACATTTTTATTGTTTTACCTCCCTCTGACTGATGTCCAGCACTGCAGAAGCTCATTCCTGGTTGAGACTAGAGCCTTCTGAAACAAGAGGCCATTTCCTTGGCTGGTCAGCAGGGAACATGCCAAGTCCCTTGCAGCCACAATTTCACTGAGCATCTGGTGTCCTTAATGCTTTGGATCCCTGCGGCAGCACTCAAATTTGTGCCCCATCACTGGAATATGGGAACAAGCTGATACTGAGACATATCATTTCAAAACACATGGCAGGTTGGGGAACAGGGTGAAATAAACCCTAGGAACGACACATTAGTTTTCCCATATCAATCACACCCCAAGCCCTTCAGAAGAGCAGGCCCTCCCCACCTACTACAGCTTACGTGTGCATGCCTCTCATCCCTATGATCCAGAGCTATCAAAAATCTACCTTAACTGAGAACCCACGTAATACTTTCACAAAAAAAAACTACTCCATAGCTCTACGACAAGAATGTGCCTGGTCTGGGTTATTATGAAAGACGTTACCCCCTCAAAATCCATTTTTGGAAGTGCACTTGCTTCCTGCACTGACTGCCTTCACTCTGAAAGCTTCATATTCTAACATCTGAGAAACATGCAAAGATACAGAGGGAATTGTTTATGCCCTCTTTCTCTTTCAATGGCTGTTGTTTAAACTTGCTTCCTTTTCTCTTCAGAAGAGTTTTAATTGTTACGTTGGGGAACACAGAAATCATCTCCAGCATGGAGCAGAACAAACATGGCAACTCCAAAATGTGCTGAATGCAGGAGACTAAACTGGTTTTCTTAAAGCAGTGCCATATTCAGACATTCAGTGCAGCAGCAGCAAAGAATGCAATGAGGTGCTGATAAAAATTATGGCTCAATTCAGGTAATTTTCTTTTGAAACAATTCACTTTTAATCAAGATATGGCATACCTCAATAAGATGTGTTTGCAAGATTTTCCTTGTATCAGCAGAAGGATACAAAAAAATGCATATTATACACACGATGCATTAAGACTATGTCCTGCATTTAAAAATTATTATTATTCCTGTTATTTGGGAAAAAAAAAAGACATTTAAGAAAGTATTCCCTGAAAAAACAGCCACTAAGTAAGTATTAGAGAACCAATATCCCCTGCAATGGGCTCAGTTTGTGTGGAACACTATGCAGAAAAATATTCCAATGTATAAACAGTACTCACTGTGCTGTACAGCTTTACCAAGCAGCCCAGCCTTTTTTAACAGGGATTTCTGAAGGTTGTTTTTTCCAGCAGAAATTCAGTGTATATTGGATAGTCTTTTTAAGGTAAGTTCTCTCTTTCATATTTAAAAAGAAATTAAAAAAAAAAAAACAACAAACAGCTCCCTTGTTGAGAAAGAAAAAAAAAAAAGTACCTAGAACAAGTGTCCTGATTGTGCAAAATAATCACATGGGCTTCCTTCTTAAGAAAACTAACAAAAAAAAAAACCAAAAACCCACAGATGTTTAAAAAAAATCAAGCTAAGTAGTGTGCACAACCCCAATCACCTCTGCTTCCCAGGATTAAGTATGTTACTGTGCTTTCCTATGTCCATTCTTTAAAATATACTGTAGGAATTCTTTGGTGCATAGATCATATCAAGTAGCTCTTGTTGAGAAGAGTGAGTCCTTCAATGAAAAGTATCTTCTCTCCCACAGAAAGTATATTGTAAACCTTACCTGTCAGTTTGAACTAAATACTATTTTAATCTTGAGGCAGCAGCTCTTGGCATGACCGTTATCAGGAACAGTCTCTGCACTGGGGAAGTGTGATCCACAGTGCTGTGGAGGTAATGGACAACCTGTGACAGGATCAGTGTGCTTTCCTTCAAGAGGTAAACATGTTCACATGCTACAAAAGAGAGTTCTGAATGAGTACATAGTAACTCAATTTAGAAGGGAGCATTAGAGGCCCTTTGTAAAAAACCTCCTATGAACTTAAAACATTTTAAGCTTGTCAGTTAAGTAACTATATATTCCTAATGCATAATGCCAAATAACGAATTACACCTTTTGAGGAGAACCATATTGGATTTTTTCTTTTTCTTTTTCTTTTCTTTTTTTTTTTTTAAGGCCATGCCATAGGGATACAGTTCTTTGTCTTTCCTAAGCAGATCATTGTACATCTGATCATATGTTGTTTTGAAATCATAAACATTTGGTTTGTCTGGTGCTGGTCCTGGCAGTTTCACGTGAGTTCCTGTTCCAAAGGATCGGACGCTGAATCCTCGTTTGCTGAAAGACAGTGAGGGAGGGGAGGGAAGCATTAATTAGACTGGATGGATTTTAAACACTAAAGTACAATCGATAGTCCAAATATATTTCAACATTTACAACTATGTTTACAATGTTCTTGGATTTGCAATGCAGCAGAAGAGTGGGCAGAAGTCTGAAGAGATGCAGCGCACACAAAAACCCCATCTCAGTATCACTTTGTACAGAATTCAAGGTAACTTACAACTGTTATCTGAAACCTATCTTTGTCCAAAGTAAAAAATGCTAATAGGAACAACTCACCCATCTGTAAGTTTTTTGTGTCTTTCCCTCCCCTCAAAATCATACATTAAAACAGAGATACTGGGCCATGAACAGTGACACAAAGAAAAGAAAAACAAACACCCAAACGCTCCTAAGGGATTATAGCCAGAAGGAACAGAACCTTCATACCCTTGAAGATTTTTAGCAAAGCCAGCCAGCACTCAGCTCTGAAAGGTTACCAACCATTCTTTGAAAGATTTGTGATTCAACTAATAGAAAAGTCAGTTATCTCCAGACATACCTAGCCTAATAAATGTTTATTTTATTCTCTTTCTGAACTTCATCATCTAAACATGGAGGAAGATGATTTGCATGGGACTGAGGTGCACTGCTTTAGTGTACAGGAAATAAACTCCCAACTCATGGAGGTTTTCCCTCTAACCTGCTAATTGGTTTTATAGCTGAGAAAAGGGATCCAAGCACATTCCACTAACGTAGCACAGCATCAGTGCAAAAATTCATTGGTTCTTGAAAGGAAAAACAAATCAATAACCAATGAAAGAAAAAAAAAGAGGTAGGCAGGGTTTCTAAGATAACTTTTTGGTTATTTACTTACTTCAATTCTATATGCAAGTTTGTTTTTCCAGACACAGTATTGTTGTACTTTTCTAGAAGATGTTATCTGCATCATGAGATCCAATACACAAGTCTTGCTTAAGAAAGTTCTTTTTAGGTATTGGAAAATCTTGGGGGCAGAGACCCAAGACATGCATTTCCTTGCAGTTACAATCAAGACTTGCACACCATTTCTAAAACAGTGACTACATTTTGCAATATTTTTTCTTAGAATTAATGTATACAGTGTTTCACCTTTTATTTTTGTGTGTGCTTTCAGATATTTTAGATTAGCAACATGTGAACTCTCTATTCAATCTTGGGCAGTAAGAAATAAACATTAGCTAATGGTAAATATTTACCTACTCTGCTGAAGTTGCTGAGTTAGCCATTTACTTCTCTATTTTGCCAAAGCTCTATAATAACTTAATTGGCTTCCTACAAACATTTCAGTATCTGGTGCCTCTCTAAAGTTGAATGAGAAACACACTGTGTAATTACCTTACAAAAGTGGAAGAGAGATTCTGCTGGCTTGCACCTAGAACTCTTGGCTAAGCCAGGAATACTTCATTCCATTCTTATGAAGAACTACATGTTTAATAGCTAAAATTTAACAAAAAGAGCCAGGAATCTGCCTGTCTTGGAAGTAATGCCACAATGTTGTGTTTTGTTGGGTTGTTTTTCCTCCAATTAACCTAAATGCACCTAAGCAAACCACGTTAATATTAAGCAGCACTACAATCTATTTTCTTGGATAGTCTAGATGAGGTTGTTCTATACGGTCCAATGGAGAAAATGACATGGCAGAATACTGTCACTACTGGCCAGAAGGCTGAAACATTTGGCTTTAGACTTCTAAAACAGGTCAAGACCGTGGCTTAACCTCAGGCATTTCAAGGATTACACCTACAATTTCAGTGAAGTAACAGACACCAAACACAGAGAATGAAGTTAGGAATAAAATTAGGATATCTGCAGTCTTCTTTCCTTCTAATTTTTCCTTTAATATTAAGCTCTGAAATAGATCTACTTCGGTCACGCACATTAAGAAGTTCATCTGCAACTGTCAGAATTGCTCCTGAAGTTCACATCATCTGCTACCAATCAAAGCAAATCTTCATTGCAGTTTCAAGCATCCACTGAGAGGTGGAATGCACACCTCACCTGGAATAACTTCATGCTACGTCACTGGCATTTGCCAGCATAAAGCTTTTACATCAGTTACGCATTAAGTGGACTATTATGAAATACTTGGAGCATGTTTCAACATACTTCTTGCAACACAGGGGGAGGGGGACACGATGACATGCCTGCACTAACACATTACTCAACAGTCTGCTTTTGTTGAGCAGCTGGACAGATCTAGTTTAGTGAATCATCAAGTATTTATTCTCCTGTTGCTCAGCCTTTTAACAATGATTACCTTCTACAAAAAAACATATATCTAGCATTTGGTTTTGGTCTAGCAAAAAAAAAAAAAAAGAAAAAAAAAATAATGACTTTATTCAGCTTTACCAGAAGGAGAATAATTAGCAAGGGTCCTCATCCTAAATCACTTCACAAACACCTTATGCCATTCAAGCAATTAGAAGAAATAAAAATCACACTATTACACAGCAGGAATGGAAGCACTGTTAACTGATTTTGATTACAAAAACCTTGAAAACATCAACAACTTGCTGTACTGTAACATGTACTTTACTGATCAGGGATAAGCTGTCAAATTAAAGTGCTGTGTTAAAGCACTTCCTCCTTCTGCAGGATTTAACGAGGCAATTCAAGACTCCTTGAATTAAATGACGCAAGTTCCAATACCCATTTGGCAGCACTTAGCTGCTGACAGGTTTCAGTAAAGGAGCTATGACTGACCTCCTTAACTACACTGCAAGGGTGTAACTCAAGCTCTTTTACTTAGAAAATGCTGAACTATAAATCATAACACTAATATGAAATTTAAGTTTGGGCTACTGGGGTTGCAACTTGTAAGAGTTTACTGAGATATTTCATGCTCATATCCCTAAGTTCTTAGGGCACTTAGTTTCCTAAAAATAAGAGGAGAATATTTGTAACTTAAGTGCATACAAATATCCTACCAGCTTCCACTACCAGAATAACAAAGAGAAACTGAAGCATGGAGACAGAGACAGGACATCTATCCCATAAAACCCTGCAACTACAAAGCTATCAGAGCACCTGCTATATGCTGAGGAGCCTGAAACAATTATTTCCTTTTCAAGGCCAACTCTGTACAACCAAATATACACAAATGGCAATGCAGAAGTTGCCTAACAAGGCCTGCTGCTAAGTGTAACCCTTCCACCTTCCTCCTCAGTGTTACAAGGAGACTCATGGCCTAAGCCTGTGTATTCTGTGGGGGAAAAGAGTCAAGCACAAGTCATACCTGTAAAAGCAAAACACACAGGATGAGTAAGATCTGAACTATGGATTGGTTATACACCGAAATCCAGTTTGACAGCTTTTAAGGAAGGATTCCATCTCCCTGCATAGCCCTTACTGTTTTGCCTCTCACCTCTGTTTTAATGTCTCAACATTAACCAGTGCTGATGGTAATTGTATTGACTTTAAAGATGTCTGCTGAAAGATTAGAACGATAAAATGTTTAAAAGCTGGTCTGTATTAAAAAAACAAACAAACAACACTACCAAGCAAATGGGAACTTGGGCTGAACCAAGATTACTCCTGAAACTGGTGGATTATTCAGTGTGACAAAGACACAAAGACATTTGTCTTGCAAAGGCACAAGCTGTAGCACAGATATTTAGTACAGTAAGGGTGAACACAAAATTCAATCTGAGAAGCCAGGGATATGGCAAACCCTCTGGGATGAACCAGTGCAGCTTAGGAGGACAGTAAGTTTATATTAAAAAAAAAAGTAATTCTTATTATATGGTATGTCGCTAAAAAAAGAAAAAAAAAAGAAAAGAACAAAGTTAAACTGCTGAAGTATACAGAGTATGTAGCCTAACCATATGGGTTTTGTTGAGCCCAATGAGAGAACAGCAGGACGTGCACACATTTCTGAGAGATTGTTTTTGCTGTAAAAGGAAGTGCCAAACTGGTAGGTTCAAGTCTTAGTCAGCATTAGGCAGGCCTTACAGCTCACCTTACAGATAGATACAGATGTTTTTTCTCTAAAAATTGAATACTGGAATAAGGACAATTACTCAGATAACTTTTACTTGAAAAATGTGGCTGAAAAAAAAACCATGTAATTCATGAATATATTGAATGGACTAGAGAAGTTAGTTCTAGATGTTTGTAACAATGTAGGTCAGACCTATCGACCATGATGAACACCTCAAAAAATACTCTTTGTGGTACATTACCTAGCATAAATATTAAAAAAAGTATATGTAGAATAGTTCTGTAAGACCATGGGCCAACACTGAAGGCTGGACTCCAGACTTTGTTTTCAGTCACCTGTGGTTCTTTTGTATTTGTGTTCCTTCAAGTTTCCTAATTCCTCCACAAATTACCTTGAAGTTACAATAACAAACCTGCTTTGTTTTAAATACTCTTCCCAACTGTTCTTCCTCTTTTAGTCACGTGCTTTCTCAGAAGTGCAGTGCAACACACAGCAACACTAAGAGACTGCCTTACATACAAGAGACTGACCTGGAGCCAAAGCAAACTTCTTTTCTGAGGTTTAAAGGCAAATGACTCTTCTCACTGCAAGACTAATTGTTTCTTTAGAACAGGATCAGCAGTTCAGCTGTTTTGTCCTTTATGCCTTTCTTGCTAATCCTAATTACATGAGATGTTACTGCTCACAAGCCTCTACAAAATGACATTTTATTTTTCCTAATTACAATCTTAAAGGAGAAGATGCTTCCAAAAAGCATTTCCCTGCAGTATTTACCAGATTATCAGTCACAATGGAAGGGACTTATTTCTTTTGCAAAAACAGAGAGGAATAAAAAGGCTCGATATTAAAAATTAACTCTCCTACACCTTGAGGACTCAGTTTTTGGTTAATATTCAGTTCAAACAATATAGTTAGAAGATAATCAACAGAAAAACCACCACCCTTCCCATTACTCATCAAAAAATATTTTGGTCAAGTGTTTTCACGGTACTGCTTCAAGTAACATCTGATGCAAGCATATGCACTAACAGCATCATATGCTCACAGTAAGATGGCTGTCAGACCAGGTATTTCCATTATTCATTCCTTCCATGGTTGTAAATGTACCACATAATTTACACTTTGTTGCTTGAGTGACTGTGCTAGTAATAGGCACCTCATGTGAATGCTAACTTTGCGTATCTCTAATAAAGAAAAAAAAAAGGCCTTTATTGTGTCCCCGTGTTGCACAGGAAAGGTTCAGAAACAGCTTCTGGCAGATGAGGTCTCTCTTGTTGGTCCACCTACACGTCATCACTGCCTCCCATCTCCCCCTTTTGAACTCAGCCAACCTGAAAGTCCTCTTCGTGCTAAATAAACAAACTCTCACTATTTCAGACGTCCAACATCCTGAATCAAATACTTCATGCAGTTTTCCTGCAAAGGGCAAACGCTCCCTTTCAGTATCTACTGTAGCTCCAGACTTCATACATATGGGGGGAGGGGGAACGCAATTAAGCTTCACGATGCCGAGATACAGAAGCTGTTCCGTGCCCGTCCATTGCACCAGCTCAAGTTTGGCAGCTCTGGGTCCGACGATCCGCTGGCAGGTGCGGGCCCCATCGCTGGGGCTGCTCCAGCGAACCCACCTGGAGGAGGGGCCGGAGAAAAGAGGACACAGACAAGAACGGAGTCCCCAGGCTGTGGGCCAGAGGGCTCTGGCGCAGGCCCTGAGCACGGCCTTAAGCCGCGGCCCGCACCTCGCTGCCCCCAGAGCCCGAGGAAGGCCCCGAAGCCCCGATCGGAGGCCCTGATGCGGTGCCGAGGGGTAACCCGCGACTGAAGGCGGCCGACAAGGCCCGGGAGGCTGACGGCGGGGCCCAGCGACAGGCCAGGCCTCGCCGCCCCCGGCCTGAAGGAGGCGTTCGTGCAGGGCCTGGTTACCTGAGGATATTGTGTGCCTCCATGCTGCGGTTCTGGTTGCTCGAGCACACCACGGCCACACGGAGCGGCGAAGAAGGCATGGCGGCGCAGGGAAGAGCCCAGCTCGTTCCCCGCGGCTCCCAAGCCTGCGCTGCCCCGCCGGCGGCTCGTACAAAATGGCGGCCGCGGGGCGGCGGCGGGCGGGGCCGGGACGTGTCAGCAGGGCAGCGCCGCCCCGCCGCGGCCAACCGCGCAGCGGGCGGCACCGCCCGTACCATAGAGAGGGGCGGAGTGCTGTGCCAGAGCGCCGCCAGTACCATAGAGAGGGGCCGGGGTGCGGTGCTAGAGCGCCGCCAGTACCATAGAGAGGGGCTGAGGGTGCAGTGCTAGAGCGCCGCCAATACCATAGAGAGGGGCTGGAGGTGCGGTGCTAGAGCGCCTCCAGGGACGGAGCTGGGATTGGGGCCGACGTCCGGCTGCGTACAGGACTGGTAAACCTGGAATGAGGAAAGACTGGCTGTGAGTCAGCAACGTAATTCTCAGCATTGAGTTCCTCTGTGTAACGTGTCTCTCTTTTCTTTCTGTCTGACTGCAGCTTCGCAGGAACGTGGGGGCTCGTGAGTGGCAGCTGTGGCACCTCGATTTCCACTGTTTCCAAGCGTGAGGCTTTGCGGCCTTGAAAACGAGAGATTTTCCGATTGGGATGGAGAAATGCGTGTAGGATGTTGAGGTTTCATAACGTCAACAGGTTTAATTTGTAATTAATTTCAAGTCTCTCGTTTTTGTTGTTTTTTTTTTTTTTTTTAAGAAAATAAACAAAGCTGCTCCTATGCTGATTCTGCATTGTATACTCTATTATTCACAGGGTGATTCAAGTGATCCAAGCAATCACTTTCTTTTTTTTTTTTTCCCCTGAAAAGCGGAGGCTTCGGGCTCGCTTCTTTCCCAGCACTAGATGGCAGCCCGATGTTGTGGTGGATGTGAGGAGCTGGGCCGTGGGACACAGATCCGCACACAACGGGCCGCTGCCCACTCAGCCGAAGCCTCCCCCCCTCCTCGCAGTTCCCGCTCCTCCCCCCGCATTTCCCGACTGAACCGCCCCCTCTGTCCCCCCTCAGTCCTTTCCCGCCCTTTTCCCTTCCCGCCCTTCTCCACACGCCGCTTCCCGCCAAAACCTTTTTCCTCTCTCTCTCCTCGCAGCTTCTCCAGAAAAAAAAAAAAAAAAACCCTTTCGTTGAAGGAAGCTAAGCCTGTGTTTTTTTACACCTTTCCTTCTACGCTCAGAGCGCTGGATGGCCCTCAAACGGGGAGTGCTGAAAGCAATGCCTGCCAGGCTCTGTTTGCTCAGGCTGACTCCAAGAAAACGCACCCAAGCGCTATTGCTACAGTACTGAGCCTTCAGCAGGAACGTGACACAGTTACCTGTGGTTTTTTCAGCTCCCTCGTTGCAGCTTTCTACCAGCGAAACAGAGCAGCAGTCTGGTAACAGAGCAGCAGTCTGATAAGTCTTCGACTCCGAGTCTCCATGGAAGCAAAACACCAGCTTTCACTTGCACCTCCAAACAAAACCAAGCAGCCCTCCCCTTTTATGTACCACAAAAAGTATCCTAATGCAATTAAAGAGAGATTCTTTGCCCGAGGCTCAGACTGCTTCCTCCAAAAGATTCAAAGCTGGAGTCAGGCTGAGCTTGAGCAGCTTAAATTTAAGCAGCTGTTTTCCTCACATTTAGCACAGGACGAGAAGGGAGAAAAAAAAAACAAAAACAAAACACCTTGTTAACAAGCATATTAACCTTCCATTTTAAATCCTGCTCAAATGCAGACAGCCTGATACCTAGGAAATTACTGTATGTATTTTTAATACCCAAGTCCTGTTAGGGTAACAACGGGGAGACTGTGTTTGCCTTAGAAGTTATCCCCACATTTTCCTGGAGCATTGGGGACACAAGAGCCATGGCAGCTATAAATCAGGATGCTGCCACTTCTTTACTGCTGCCTGGACAGGCTGGGATTGATTACAGCTCCGTGTGATGCTCTGCATGCTTTGGGAATTGCTGCAAGTACTGGATAAAGCTTTCTTTAACTGTGCAATCGAAGAAGGCAAATTAATTTCAAGTCTATATACATCTAATCTTTGCCATTATTGCCAACAAGGAATTTCTACACTCATCAGTAAAAAAAAAACAAAAAACAAAAGATAACAAACAAGCCTATTAGTTATTAATGAGTTGGCAGACATTTTACTTAATGCCACATAAAATGAAATAGGGAATACTCTGATTATCTGTTCCAGACACGGAGACGTGTCCAATTAAACCTTAATCCATTGAAAATGAAAGAGAAGCTAGGAGATATTGTTTCCCATAACTCATCTGTAATGCGTGGGGGAGAAAAACACTGATAAAAATAATCCTCACAGGATTTCCTCCAGCAGGATTTGCATTCTTGTTCTACATCTTTTGCACCTGCTTGTCTACCCTCTGCCCAGCATGCTGCTGCAATGCAATCCACGGAGGCAGATGCATCGAGATGTGAGATGACTACAAATAACTTCTCTGTAGCAGATACAAAAGGTGCTGTTTTAGCAGGTAACTGCAGCCTATCGCTAAGTGGGAGATGTCTTAGGGAAAAGAGACACACACAAATCCATACATTAAATTTGCTCCTCAGTTTCCTTACATCAGCATTACCGCAATGAACAGTGCTGGCTGCACAAAAAAATCAACTAGCTTGAATTGGCAAACCAAGAGGGATTTGGGAGATAAGGGCAGCTCATTCAGAGGTCGAATAGAGATCACTCATAAAAAACAAAGACACGAGGCTGCCACGATGAAAGCCGTTTTTGCTCGGTGAGTTTCCATGCATGACTTTGAACAGGAGGTTGAATTAGATGGCCTCCAGGGATCCCTTCTAGCCTGAATTATCCCGTGATCCTCCAGTCCAAATCTCTAATAAACAGAAATCAAGTATTATGAGAATAACTACTTTCAATTTCCCACCGATGTTATCATTTTCCAGCAGGCAGTGCAGTGCCATTACATCCAGGTTTGTTCACTTTGCGAGTAAAACAATTCTTGAATCATTAAACGCCAATTTTTTCATTTCATTATTCTCTTAATTTATTAAGGTCAATGCCAACGTGGTACAAAGCCCATTAGTTGTACAGTTAATTTTCACATCTGGCAGTTCACAACAAATGAAGACCAAAACAGTCAGGCTGGCTGACAGTGATGTACAAAATCAGTGCCACTCTGGCAGCCCTGTGCAGAACTGACTACAGAAAAGACTGACCTGAGACCTTGGAGCCAAATTCACTCTGTGTTTAAATTCACTGAGCTAAACCACTAGACACAATCAGTCTTAGTGCTCTTAAAATGTGATTGCCTTGTCTTTGAGCAGTCAATTTCCTTAGGGACAAAAAGATAAATAAATGACACCGTCCTTCAGTGACAATGAAAGATACTGTCCTTCCATTGCTGCCGTTCTGGATACGGTCAGGCTGCTTCTATCAAGTACACAGGCAAATAAATAGAGAGCAGTGTGAAATCTCAGCTGCGTGTGAGAAAGCAAACAAAGCAGGAATGACAAACAGGTCCTTCAGCTTCCTGACCGCTCTCCAGTTATCGAGGGGATTATGATTAGTACCAATACTGCATTTTATCAGGGATTGCATATGCTTTCTACATTTACTCTCTAACAGCAAGTTTATACTTTGCAAACTATTCCACAAAAGAAAAGCTCATGGGTTGTTCACCAGTGATACACATTGACACAAACAGAGCACATATGGACCCGAAGGGTTTGGATTGCAACACCCCATCACAGAAGAGTTTTTCTACTTTTGCTTTCGGTATGCTTAAGTGCTATAAAGTCATCTTCTATCACATACAAACGAAATAAAAACTAAACACAACAGCTGGTAACAGAACTACTTTAGGTATATATATCGAAGTTCAAGTAATGACCAGCAAAGTTTGTTTTCAGAAACAAAACAACACAGCAGTTTGAGACGAGACCAGCAGCAGAGCTGTGTGAGGACCACAGAACAGACACACCGATAGAAACGGGACAGGATCTCAACACTAAGGCACAAGAGAATTCAGACTTGAGTATGGCTAAAACCTTATTTACTACAGCATTGAGTGAGCAGTTCACAAGGAGTGTTCCTACGCTCAAAACACTCCGCTACCACATCAGTGAGTTTTGTGTCCCTTAGTGCAGCTCCACACAGCCTTCCTAAAACAAACAGAGGTTTAGGGGGGGATTTCAGACAGCGGCGACTCAAAAGATCAGTTCATACTTTGCAACGAGGTGGAATTTTCCTATAAATTGTGTGTTTTCTTTATTTTTAGGACAGCTCGCAAGGGGACGATGCTGCTGGGGAACCCTGTGCCACAACCCTAGGCAGCACCCATGGAAGATCTCAGTGCCTTTGGGTCACACAGCCGTGTGGCTGGCGGCTGCTCTGCGTTTGTCCTCGCAGGTTTCAGTGGCATTTCCCCCCTCAGGGACAAAAACAAACAACAAAACCACGCACGCGTCTAGAAGCACAGAGCCATCGAACATCCCGAGCTGGATGGGATCCACGAGGATCGAGTCCAACTCATCCGGAGCAATGAGACTTAAGCACAAGCTTAAAGTAAGCACGTTCTTAAGTGCCTTCCCGAACAGCCCCTCGGAGACAGATCTCCGGCTTGCTTCTAAAATGGAAAATTTCCTGGCACTTGTGGATTTTTGCCACGACTCATTTTTAATCCACTGAGATCCTACGAGTTCAGAAATCAGTATGGCTCAAGCTGAAAAGCCGCCCTATGGGAAAAGAGCTCCAAACACACACACACAAATACCCACACAACCCAACTCCTGGAAGCCTGGAAAAGACGAACCCAAAGCAACCGAAGCTCCCGACGACGCCCTGAGCAAACCCGCCCCGACCCCGCGCGGCTCCCCAGCCCCGAAGCGGCGGCCGCACGGCGGAGCGGAGCAGCGCTAGGCGCGGCGCGGCGCGGCGGGGCTCATCAGGTTCTCGGTGATGTAGGCCACCAGCAGGCAGATGAAGACGAGCATGACGCAGATGGAGCCCCCCACGGCCGTCATGGCTACGACGATGTCCCGCATGGCGGCCGGCTCCACGCGGAACTCCACGCAGTGGGCGGGCGGCGCGGGGCGCGGCGGCGCGTAGCGGGGCTGCAGGCAGAGGCGGTACCGCACGCTGCCGTGCGCCTCGGGCAGCAGGTAGTCGCGGCAGGCGGCGCCCAGCTCCACGCTGTCGCAGGGGAAGCGCGTGTAGGTGCCGTCCCAGGAGCAGTTGAGCGCGAAGCCGCGCAGGCCGTTGCCGGGACGCGGCGGCGCCCACTGCAGCAGCACGCTGCCGTTGCGCAGCACGTTGGCCACCAGCGCGCCGCCCGGGGAGCGGTGGGCGCGGCAGGAGCGCGCCGCGCACTGGAAGCCGAGGGCCGGTCTGCGGAAGCACAGCCGCCCGTTCGCCGAGCCCTCGGGCCGCACCTTGTAGGGGCACCACGGCTCGTCCGGCTCCGGCTGCGCCGCGGCCTCGGCGAGCGGAGCCCTCGGGGCGGGCGGCGGCGGCCCGAAGCAGAGCAGGGCGAGCAGGGCCGGCAGCAGGCGGGGCATCCCGGCCGCCGCGGCATGGAGCCGAGCCGCGGTGCCGGCGGAGGGGCTGCGGCCGCCCCGCGCGCCCGTTATAAGCGCGGGCTCCGCAGCCGCTGCGCCGGCCGCCAATGGAGAGGCGGCTCCGGCGTTAACTCTCGCTGGGCTGCGGAGCGCTCGCCGCCGGGCAGCGGCGGGGCTGGGGGGGAGCGCGGGCATCTCCAGCCGCCGCGCCCCGGGGGGCGGCAGGGCGCGGAGCCGGGCCGGGAGGCTGCCCGGCTCGGAGGAAAGAGGATTGTGGTTGGTTTGGGGGTGTTTGGTTGTTTCTTTTTTTTTTTTTTTTTTCCCGCGTTTATTTTTTTAATTGGTTCTGTGTTCCAACTCGGAGGTGCTCAGCAAGGATGTAACACGAGGAAATGAGAGCTTCCCCCTCCAGCACGGCACAGTGCTAGCAGGGGTAAATAGGGGGAATGGGCGCGCGGCAGGCTGAGGCAAAAGGAAAGGGGGTCCTTGGCTCACCCTGTACAAGCTGTTTCCCAATGGCAGCACAACAGCCCCAGCCCAGCCATCACATGACACCAAAATGCTCACTGGGCAACACCAAAATATTCATATTAGAACTATAAACTTGTCTAAATGCAGAAACAAAAGGTCTCTAAGTAATGAAGGAATAAATACATTCTTAACCCAAGCAAATTTTATGCAGTCTTTAAACATGATAAAAGCTGCATTAAGGCCTCACTTCCCCACTTTGCAGCTTTCATTCCACACCAACAACTGGGGGGAGATTTTCTTTGTGTTTTGCTCAGGTTTTATGTGGCGTCCTGAAAACTTTCAAACAGCTCAGAAGCCAGGAATTACTTTTCACCCCCTGAAAAAGCCCGTGGAAGGCCATAAATCCTGCTGGAGGACAGCATGCTTCTGTGCTGTAAGTACAGAATGGTGCTTACAACTCGACTTTAGTCCTCACCCAATGACCAACCTAAACTACCTAAAAACCATCTGTGATCAACAGCATGGGAAGCATTCTTCAGTGAAAAAGTAAACAGCCAACAGCTAATTCAGCCCCCCTTCCTTCCTTACAAATTCCAGCTTTTTGGAACAGCTCGCTCTGCACCTTTAGATCTCCTGGCAGAAGCCTGCAGAATGGGAATGTGGCAATTGTGCCAAGAGAGCATCCTTTGGCTTTCAATGAATGAGACAAACAATGTAAGTTGAGCACAGATGTCCAGCACCTCTGCCTTACTCCTTCTACACTGGTACAGTTCTCCTCTGTTACCTGCTTGGGGATGTGAAGTCCACAGACTGCTATGCAGGTTTTCATTAAATGTGCTCCTTGTCTTTGCAATAAGCCACATTCTGAAGGCTGTTTTTATTTCACAGCCATGTCCAAACAAGCAACAAACCCACACACCTCGGACTTGGAGAAGCTGTTTAGAGCTCCTTCAGTGTAATTTGCAGCAGTGCAGAACTCAGTGAACATCAACATGCCCAAAAGGTCTCATAATGAGACACCTCTTCCTGGCTGAAAGACTTGGCAGTGTGGTTTCTTAATATCTATCTATCCCTTCAAACAATTTTACAATACCAAATATTATTTCACAAACAATTTCCACTTTTTTTTTTTTTTTTAAGCTAAATTCAATGTTTGTTTTCTGCTACCCTGCCGAAAGTTGTTGGAAATCTCTTTTAAAATGAGGAGCAGCATAGAAAAGGACAGCGATGCAGTCCTGGCAGCTCCCCTCAGCCAACGCGAGGAGGTGCTGCGCTGCTGGAGGCGCTGCTCGGTGGCCGAGGCCAGCTTACCTGGAAGCTGTGGCTGGGATGCACACATGAAGATCTGGCAGCTCCGCCCGAGAAGCGTGAGGGCGTTCAGGAGACGCACGGAGCCAAACCACGCCAGCTTTGTCTCCCTGAGCCCTGTTAATAGCAGATGGCACTCCAGAGCTATCGTCGTTCCAGTGATCAATTAGATCCGGCACCAGGCTGTGATGGTGCTTGCTCATGATTTGAAACACATTGAGTTCTTCTGTTGAGAGAGCCAACAGATGGGGGCTGGGATTTGGTTTCTAACCAGTCCACGTTAGAAACAAGCGTTATTCTCTTAAACGAGTCACACACACATATATAGAAATGGGAGATGTTCTTGGTTTGGGGAGGTGCAGACAGCTCACTCCTACATTATGCAGGCCTTTAGGGCATTTTCTCCTCCAACTACATTGGATGCCTTCAAGAAAACTCTTCATTAAAGCATTAGTCACATTTTCAGCCCTAAAAATGCCATGTAAATGAATAACGAGCCTAACAATTTAACTAATTGATAGGCATATGTTTTCCTAATCTGTGCCTTTATTTGTAAAGGCACAGAATGCACAATTAATTCTCATCATCTGACTAAGGATGTGGCCAAATCACTTTGTCATCATGTGAACCCTGGAAATGCATTTGTTTACAGAAACCTCATTGATATCACGTCTCTGGAATCCAAAGGCAAGCAGAGAGCAAAGCACCACAAAAATCAGCAAGTGTGCCAGGTGAACTAGCCCTTATCCTGCACTGCATCCTTTGGCCTTGCACCACATCTCCAGGCAAAAGATCATTTTTTATGTAAGACAAACAAAAACCAATGGCTTTGGCTTGGTCAGTCTGCCAGCACTGACCTCATGTGAATCCTTCGTCTGGTTGTTTGCTTTCTCAGCTGTTCCTCAGACCTTCCTCTGTGCCTCAGTCTGCAACAGAAGTCAGCCAGGACTTCTCAGACACTGCCTCAACAGTTCACCACTTGGGCAAACGCTGTCGTTTGCTTTAAGCAGTGAAGCCCCAGGCAGCATATCAAAATCAATAACAGCCCGTGGTGCTTTACTGGCTTTCAGACAGACCTAACACTGCAGGTTTGCTGCTTTTCTGGTTCTCCCCCACCGTGTTTATTGTCTCCTGTTACAGGAAGCCCTGAACTTGTACTAAAATGGTGGCAACTTGCTAGAGGCCAGGCAAGGAAGCACTCAGCACCGCCAGCTAACAACTCATGCAGCACTGCACCAATTTTAGTCTCGCACACAGCTGTGGCAGGCAGTCCCTAGAGCAGAGCTGCTTTGCTCTCGGCTCAGGGCAGCGAGCAACATATGGTTACTAAAGCATTCTCCTAGCAGGGAGCTTTACATTTAGGATGAGTTACCATAGTTCCCTCGGAGTCAGCTTCGAGGATTACTCATCCCAGACACACATAAGCAGAGATTTTGCCTCCTAATGTTGCTATCTCCTGCAGCCTCTGACTCAGCACGTGGTCTCCCTTCTATCAGGGTTCTATTTTCAGCACTTGATTCACTTGCAGTGAGGTCTGAACCTCCGCACTGAGAGCCACGGGTTAGGAGAAGCATGGAGCAGGGGTGAATGTAGCTCAGCAGACAGCTGCACTACGGCAGCCTGGGCACTCAAAATTCTTACCACAGATTGTGTTGGTCATTGATCCATTGTGAAACAGTGAGATTCTGCCTGCCCAACAGAGAACAGGGAGCATTTCTGATGAGGATGCATCTGCACACATAGCAGCAGTTCCAGCTAATGCATCCTGAAGGTGCTATTTATAGCAGATGGTGGAGGCTGAGCAGCATTGCGTCACGTCGCAAGGTTGGCAGCATACAGCACTAACACGGTGCTAATCATTTCAAGTCACTTTGGATATCTCACACCTCACTTCAGCTGTGCAGTGAACTCAGTTACATGAGCAGCTATGGCACTGGGCTTACAGACCTTCTCCTGGACCCCCTGAACTGCTGAGATACCAACCTGTACAATGAGCATAAAGCCCCTAAAGCAGCATTTGTCTTCTCCAACGATCTGCGAGCTTTTAACTGAGGTGTGGGTGCAGAAAACGCTTTGCAGCCAGGAGCTCTCAGTTCACGTCCTACCAAAAGCCTCATGTCTTCCCATGAAGAGGTCTGTTTTCTCACATGCTTTTGGAACAGAGATGCAAACTGCTGCAGTGAGGTTCTCCTAGTGTCAGTGCATGGCTACATCCTCCCAGTTTCAGAAAGCAGCAATCAGGTCTGTGAGGTCCCAACAAGATGTTTCCTCAAAGTTCCGTAACAGCCAGCAGCACCCCCAGCTGCCCTGATACTGCAGCTCTGGGGAGAGGGCAGCAGCTAGAAAAGTTCTTGTTGCTTCCACATAACACAAGCAGAGCCCAAACACATGAACTACTCCAGACTACCCCTGAGTTTGACTTGCTTAGATTGCACTGGTAAAAAAAAATAAAATAAAATAAAAACAGAACAACCAGAAAACCCTGACATGTTAATTTCAAGCTCCATTAGAAGCACTGGAAGAAAAAAAAAACAAACAACCAACACTGCCTGAATGAAAAAGACCAGACTTACTGGGACATAAATGTTGTTTTCCCAACTATCTGGAAGTGCCACAAAACGCTCCCCAAAACAAGGCTTTAAATTCTAATGCAAACAGGGAACAAAGATCTCTCCTCTGAGCTTTATCACGATGCTCCCCCACAAGCTGTTGGATGGGTGTTCGTGTCCCACTTGGGGGGATCCACACCATCACAATGCTGTATGAAGCAAAAGGACTATTCAGGCAAACAGAGACTGTGCCACAAAGTGCTTCATTCACCCCAGCAGGGCAGCCATGGAAAAGAGAACTGCAGAACGGGTCACAGGGAAGGATCCCTGCACTGGGAAGAGGATCTCCTCATTTGTATGCACATACACACGTATGTTAGCTGGCACGTGGTACTTTCTTCTGGTGCTCATGGCCAGCCATCACCTTGACACTGCTCCAGTCAATTCCTCTCCACCCTGCCCTGATGGGAGCAAAGGACGTTTTAAAGAAACACTACTGAGAAAAATATTTTATAAGACAGATTCCTTTGTATTAGCCATCAGTTGATTAACTCCAGGGATCAGCTCAGACACCCTCCTTTTGTAGTCCTGCACCCCTCCCCTGCCCGGCCAGCAAAAAAAACCGAACTCTCAATCTAGGGAATGGATGGGGAAAACAAGAGGGTCAAGGACTTGATAAATCAACAAGTGCTTCTTTTAGAAGCAGCAATATAAAGTCATTCAGACAGTCTGAGGGCACTTCCATGCTATTGAGAGGCAGCAGTGGCCCCACGCACGTAGATATGATGCATACCTGCAAACACCATGCTCAGTGCCTGCCAAGGCAGCTATCTCCTCCTGCCTTTGTTCTGGGCTGTGCACAGTACAGCATCCAGTTTCTGGGAGGACTTCCTGTCCTCTCGTTCCTACTGCATCCATCTTCAGCATCTCTCAGTAGTAATCCTTCTTGCCATCAGTTCCCTGGATGCCTGCATGGTTCTTCTGCCCTTGGACAAGTTCGAGGTCATCATTGTCATCTACCTCACCGCCATGGTCCTCCTGGGTGCAAAGAAAACAGCCAGGAAGGAAAATCAGCAAGGTCCAGCTGGAAAAGAGACCCTAACAGACAGCATCATGCTGCTTCTGAATAGAGCTGTTCTGCTATACCAGCCCAGCTTGGGAAACCCAGGAAAACAGGGAAGAATTCAGTTCTACCAGGGACCTTTAGGTAACGCTGGCAATGCACCAAGAAGTAGAGCTAAGAAGCTACGTTCATTTAATGAACACTGAATAAACTAGCATTGCAATGCCATTTTAACATCTCAGCCTGTTGCATGAGAAGATATCCTACCTCCATCACATCTAAAACTAGTGTAACAAATTCCACCCATGATGTGCAGCAGGCAGCACAGCATCTCTTGGTACCTTTAGGTCCAGACAGTCAGTGCACAAGTCAGGTTCTTACAAAGGACAAGGAGAGCTCCCCTTCTCTGGGGTCCCTAACACAAGGAAGACATGGAGCTGTTGGAAGCCATAGGTGTGTGGGCTCCAGGTTTGTTCTGGAGACTCATCCCATTGAGCAGAGACAAAACTGAAAGCAGTGCTCACATCTGCTTCCCTAAAAGCTGAGTTGTGGTCAACACCTGGCTACCAGTATACTCAGGTAACAATTTCACTAGAGAGGGAAAGAAGGGAAACCTTGGTGTCATACAATTTCTTGTTCCTGATCTTCTTGATAGTCATCCATCAGGTCCTCCTTGGGCTTGACAGATCTGCCAGCATCCTGGGAAAAATAGAAGGTCAGACATTGTTAGCTCCAATCCAATCCACTTCCACTCCCTGCAGGGAGACAGCTCTCTGGCACTGGTGCTTCAGGTCTGGAAGACACCAGACTACAGCTCAGAAATCAGGCAGTGAAACAACCCCACATCTACTTGTGCTTTTCTTCCCACTGTAGAGGTCTTTGTTCTCCTCCTTGATTACATTGGCTTGGATTTATTTTTTTTAACTTCACTATTGATCATGATTTTAGAGCCTGACAGATAAAACACTCCTTTTTAAAACAAGCAACGCTCAGCTGCATGTCAAAACAAGCTAACATTTCCCTGATGCAGAGTCTGGCTTCAGATGGCAAGAAGCACTTTACAAGATAAATGGCTTCCACCTGCAAGCAGGCAAACAAGAAGTCAGGACTCCTGCACCTTGTCACTGCTGTCAAGTTTGCTGCATGCCCAGGAACAACAAGACTTCAACAAACAGACACAACAGAACAAATTCTGGTATGACCCACTGATCCTTAGGAAAAGGTTTCTCCTGCTTGCCCCATCCCCGCAATGGGATTATTGATCAGTTTCCCCTAGAGCCCTTAAGCTCTCTGCCTCCCCCCCATTCACAGCTCAGCATCCCTCCCTAGCCCCTGCTGACTACTCTCACATCAGTCACCTTCAGTGATTTCTCCTTAGACTCTTCTTTTGCACTGGGTTCCTTGAACTTCTCCAAACCTCCCACCTTCTCTTCAAAGTCAGGTCTCTCCAGCTCAGCTTCCTCAAACTCATCCTCGCCTTGGTTATTGGGATCCTGGGCAGGATCTGCAGCATCATCTGGCATCTGGACAAGAAAAGCCTCTTGTAAGTACCAGACAAGATATCTACGCGAGATGCAGAGGCCAAGATGAGCCCACCCTCCCCAACTGGGAAAAGCTGTTGCCCAGAGTCGACACAGATTTCAGGATGAAGGTTCATCACTACACGATTAAGAGTACAGGAATATCGTTCACCCAGAAGAGAACGCTGATCACTCTTAGCAGTATTCCCCCGCCTTTTCCCCATTCTCTAGTCCTATCTCAATCTTTCATCTGCTCCTTGCAGTTCAGGCTCTTCTCATTCAAGCGGTAATGAAGCTATATAGGAGGCACAAAAGGATCTTGCTGCAGGCTTCGTTTCTCTCTCTAGAGCTGGTTTCTCCTTGGGAGATCAATTCACTGTCAGCGCAGAAAGCAAAATAGTTGCAGGGCTGTTTTGCAGCTGACTGCTTTCCCAGAAATGTTATCAGTAGGTTCTCTCTTCTGTATTTGACCAGCTTTACAAATATCAAGCAGTTGCTTTCTACAAATTCAGTGGTTCCCTTTTTACACTTCTCTTGAGCTTTAACCTCCTCCAGTACCTTTCTGCCCATTCAGCTCAAATCCAAGACAGTTATCCTCCCACCACACCATATGAAAGAGGTATCAGCCCTCTAAAGAGAGTTTGGCACTGTCAGTTCACCGTGCCATGTCAGTCATCAGCAAATTACCTTCAGTTTTACAGAGAAAATACTCAGCCAGCCATATTATTCCTACTGCTAAAAGGTTTGTGTTTGCCTGCTTTTTTTGAAGTGGGGGAACTGAGATGAAGAAGCACATTGAAATCTAAGAAGACAGAGCCAGTGTTGGCTCAGCACTTCGCCAGTCATACCTTTAATCAAGCAAATTGATGGTTTTAACCCCAAAACCCTCCGGAAGCATACAGGAGTTTGGAGTTGCATGTCATAAAGACTTCTGGGAAAGCACCTATTAAAGTGGAACAGTGGATTTTTATTCAGAAGAAGGAATCCTGATAACAGCACAGCAGTATTTCTTACCACGGGCTCCTGAACAACAGTCTCTTTCTGAGAATGCAAGGTCTCCCTCTCAATCATTCCTGCATCTGCAAGGAAGAGGGACAGTTATCAGCACAGTCTCTGGATTAAAGACAAAAAGAGAGCAGTGATACAGACTGATCTGGTAATCCTTATAATGCTTACAGGATGCAAGTCATCATTTCAGTAGGATTCTCACAGGAGCCTCAGTTCCCAGCTTCCCTCCCTTCTGCATTCAAGCCCTTTGAGTGCAGCAGAACACCTCAGCAATATTCTCAGACTGGACTTCTGTACCCCAAAGCCCATCTGGCTCCCCACTGGCTGGGTAGCTGTAATATTTAATTGCTTTACCCAGGCAATATCAAGATCTCTGTGGAAGCTACAAGTCATCTTTTAAGCACATGCAGAAAGCTTTTCTAGCTTCCAGCCTTGGCAGGCAATATATTAGTGCTGTACAACAGAGGACTGGGGAAACCATACCCATTTCAAGCTCTTCATTATCCGTCCTTTCCTTCTCTCCTTCCTGATCACCTATTTGATTCTCTGCCCCTCTCTTCTGACTGGATGGCTGTGAGCTGCCCTTCTGAGTCTCTTGCCCAGGCCTGGGGTTGAGGTGAAGGCTCTTGGGATAACTGTGCACATCATCCATCTGGGCATTCACTTTGCTGACTATGTCCTTCCAGCTGCAGCAAAGGCACAAAACAAAACAGACCCCACCTCGCCACCTCAGCATATGCAGGAGATAATTTCAAAATGCCATTTAAAGACAGCAAATAACATGTAATGCACGCAGAAGTCTGTCCTATAATGTAATGCCTCAGCTTTAGCAGCTTTTTGAACCCAGCATATTACCACCACACATACTTCCAGTAAAAAGCCCAGCCTTTAGCTCAGGTTCCCCTGTTACAAAGCCATCAACACACAAACTGGCCATCAAGAGTCTGTCTGGAATCTGCTGGTCTCAGCCACCCTGTGCAAGGGTTCTTGGCACCAGCCACATGGCCTCTTCTGCGATTCAGTGTTACTCTTGGCATTGATACCTTCTGAGAAAGCTGGCTTATGCACTCATACCACAAATAACACTCAGTGTAAACAACAGCCTCCAGCTGCTCAATAATTTCTTGATGATAGATCCAGGAAAGAAAAAGCATACCATATTCTTTGCCTTTGAGAAGTCATTAATCAAAACATGGCCAATGTTTGCATTTTGTGTTTCACAGAACAGTGACAACATCCTTTCTAGACTTGGAGCAGCCAAAGACAGGCCAGTCTGCTGCCCCAGCTTCAGCATTTGCCCTCAGCTGAAGGCACACAAACCCCTCCCTGGATGAAGGCAGCACAACATCTGTGCTGTCACTGTGTGCTTGTGCAGATGCTGTCTACTAAAGCAGCGTGACATTACTCTGAGGAAATATCTTCAGACCTCTTCAGAGAACAATCTCTAACCTGAGAAGTTTGCAGGTTAAGTGAACAAACAGATACAGGGCAGAGAAGACACTAGTGGAATCTGGCTGATAGTTTGGAATGAAAACCAGAAGTTATTATCTGAAGCTATTACTTGAACACACACCAAGGACAAGTAAATTATATAAGGAAGCACTATTTTCATAGTTAGTTTTTGGATTTTGGCCAGAATTCAATGAATGACAGCCTCAGAAAAACATTTTCCTCCTTTTGCAAAGCAGCCTGGTCTTCTGTAAGTACTGCTGAGACAGAAAGCAGTTCCTCCTGTGCCTGTTCAGCAAACAGTATGATTGGATCCTGGACCCTGCACAGACTCCCAGAACCTGCAGTAACACAAGAACTGCACTGTGGGAGTTGCCCATCCCAATACTGGCAGGGCCCCATCACATCCTCCTCTGAAAGCCCCTTCATGGCAGCTGTCCTCCCCACAGCTTCCCTCCACAGTTATCCCAAGAGCAGGTCTGGAGAACACCTTATGCTCTGTGACCAGGAGGAGAAACAGCCTCAAGGTACAGGGAACTTTAATACTGAGGGTTTTAGCTAAGCTCAGGAAATTCTAACAGTTCCAAGTTTGTTTGTTTTTTATTACTGTAAGCCAGCTTTGGTCCCCAGACATGGTTAAACTGGTTTGCCTTCTCCAGATGAAGCTGACGTTGATACAAACTACATCATCTCAAGAGCAACTATGCAGGAACGTGGGACAAAAGCCTGCATTTTCTGGTGGATTCTGTGTCCTCATTTCTGGCATAAGCTTTTGCTGCTTTATCCCATTCCAAATACAGAAGTCTTAGGATCACAGGTCTTGGAGAGCAGAAGGGGGCTTTGCATCACCAACCTTTGCATCTGCACTGGTTTGCTCCCTGTTGAGTGACGGTTGTCTGTCACCTGGGTTTTCTCAGCAGCAGAAGGTTGTTTCAGATCAGACAGTAACAATCCAGGAGCTTGGCTTTCCTCATGGCTGCTCACCTGAATGCGCATCACCATGTCCTGCAGAGAGGGCACACAAATGCTTTCAGCATATACACAAGCTCCTAATCCTACTGTATTCTTGTAGATCTCCCCCCTTACATTTGAGCCAGAACATCTTTTTCTAGAGAACAGACTCAGAAGTGGCCCAGAACAAATCCACAGCCCTGTCCAGCCACACCCTGGTATGAGAGGTCACTCTCCTTCCACACAGCCAAAGGGAAGTGATTTGAATCCTATGCAATCTGGACTTCCCTCATCTGGGGTAGCCACCACAAAAGGAACAGCAAAACCACCTCTTACCAAAAAAAAGTTGCAATTATAATAGTTACTGTAATTGTAATTTAACGATATGTTAATTGTCATGTTGTCAATTACTGTCCCTTGCTGTGCTCCCTAGCAGAGACCACCAAATTTACAGCAACTCCCAAGCGTTCCCATGGCCGCTCACAACCCTGAATTCAGATGTGAATCTCTTCTTATTTCAGTGCAGACCACAGGAAGCAAGCAAGGATAATGCAGAAGGCAAACCCAGTCCCCAGTGAACTGATTTCCTTTTTCAAGAGAGATGAATGCTGTTCTTTTTTTATACAGACTTTTGAAGTGAGACAAACGTAGCAGGCCTGTCCGGTGCCCAGACCATAGTGCCTGCTTTCAGGGAAAAAACAAACCCTGGGTCTGCAGAACATACTGGGTTTCCATTTGGCAGGCTGTTCACAGTTCGGGTGAATCGGATGATGTGACCATCTCCATGTCCCGCTGGCCAGGCTGGCGGAGCCTCGGGTGGTGAATTGGCATCTTGCAGTGGGGCTGGGTGGGTGAGGGGCACGTTCACCTGGGACCTGAGGCCATCGTTGCTGTTGAAGCTCCGGCCCTGCAGCACAGGACCATCTGCCTGCTTCCGAACCCCAGAGAGCTGTGATGCCAGCGAGCTCCCTGCAGGGCGATGCTCTGGATTGACTGGAAAAGCCTGCAGAGAAGGAAGGACAAAAGTGAGCTCCAGAGGAAAGGACTGTCCTCCCCCAGTTCAAAAGCCCCTAGATCATCTGGAGAAACTCCCAGTCCCCCAGGACCATCACACCTTCTGCCTTGTGAGCTGCAGTTGGCTGTTGCCTGGATCCAGAGGCTGCTCCTTCAGCACCTGGAGCTGCTGCTGCTGCCCCTTCCCTCCTCCTCCTTTGAAGCTTGGCATCTTCTGCAGAGCTTCCTTGAGCTGTCTGAACTCTTCCATTTGGGTCTGAGGGGACAAAAAAATCAAGAGAAACCTTACATGATGATAACAGGGTTGCAAAATTCCTTGCTGAGTTCTTACAGCCTGTTGTGCAGCTCAGACACACTGCAAAAAAAAGACAGCCACGTGACGGGAGATAATCCACAATCATTAATGGAAAACTCCAGTTAGTCTTCAGATTTCCTTCCAGATCTCACAGGTATTCTGCATCCCCCTTTGCCAGTCTTGCATCTTCTTTTATTGCATATTTTTACCTTAGAAACAGTGACACATAACAGCAATGCTTTGGGCAATGCTATTTACTGCACAAGCCATTAATGTAATTCCTGCTTTTGCACAAAATAATCTCGTCATGGCTCTTGTAGGCTCCCTCTCCTCCTGTTCTTCTCATACACTTTCACATCAGCTTTTTTTCCTTCTGTGGAGGCATTTCTCTGTAGATATTGTCAGCCCCTCCAAGACGAACACAATTGGCATAATTCCACTTGACAATTCAATTTACTTTGTGAGACAGAAGAAAAAAATCAATTCTCTTGGACTGTTCAACAAACACAACGCTTTTTTCTCTACTGCAGCATATTTCCTCCAGCTCCAACCCTGAAAAGTAGGACTTGGAAAAGCTATTCAGGAAAAGCTCCCCACTCCCCTTATTTATAGGGAAGTGAGGGGAGAGAGTTTTTCATGTGCCTGCCAAGGTACTTGGGAGTGGACCAGAGTGGGGACTGGGCAGAGCAGGAAAAAGCAGCAAGGGAAGTTTAGCAGGAAATTAATTCCTGAGCAGGCTTTGTTGATTTCAGTTCTTCCCCCTGAAATTTGACCTTAAGGCAAAAACTGAAATAAAACAAAAAGCCAATAAAAAGATCCACCAAAGCTGGAATAAAAATAGTGAGGAAGAGACAAAAAGCAGAGAGCTGTTCAGGGGATGTAGCCTGGGTAAGGGACTGCTTCCAGTCAGAACAACCAAATGGAAGCAAACCTGTGTCATACAGGACAGGGCTGAAGGGTTGCTGGTATCCCATCCCAGCAAGCTGTATGCACTGTGCTCCATTATCTTGTGCCACATTTTACCTTTGCACAACAACTGATGTGACAGCTATTGCAGGCTCAGTCCTCTGGGTAGGGCCTGTGAAACACTTTTGCATCTCTGAAGAATGTATGTGGCATCTAGAGTGCAAATTGCTCCTCTGTAAGCCATCCCCTGCCTGAAGAGAGCCAGAGCAACAAGAGGACCCAGCAAAAGGCACCACAAGGAAGCAGGGCTGTGCTGGGAGAGGCTGCATGCCCATGGGGCCCCTGATCCTGCATGTGGCACCCAGCCCCACCAAAGAGGATGTGATCCCTTTCACCTTGGTGTTATGAAATACTAATGAAATGCCAGAAAGAAATGATCAGAAAATGGAACAGAAAACTGTAGGATTTAACAGTAGGCTCCTTGTCAAAAAAGATCCAAAGTGTTTTCTGAACTCATTGGATCAAGCCCTACTGCTTCCCAAGGAAGCAGAAATAGCAGAGCAGACAGATGGCTGGAGCATGGCTTTGTAACACAACCGTCTGGTACCTTCAGAACAAGGAACTGAGCTCTGTCTCCCACTCCCTGGGCAAATCCTTTTACTCTTTGCTCACTTCCACTTTTGGCAAGAAATGACAGTAAGCTGTTTCTTGCAAACTGCTGTTCCCATTGGTCACAGTGCTGAAGGGGCCGTGCATTAAGGCTGGCAGCACAGAAGCTGCCATCGTGTTCTTCAGTCTGCAAGCACTCAGCGTGGCAGCCTTAACTATCTCTAGCCAAGTTTTCTTAAATACTACTCAGAGTATGTGCAAGTTTGCACACTTGGTGTGCTGATTGCTTTCTCTAATGCAGCATGGTAATTTGGATTGGTCCTACCAGCTGTGCCCAATGCCATGGTACTCAGCAAGAGTAAGCAGCACTGGGTGGGGGCAGAACTTCTGCTGTGTGCTGGAAAGGCTCACACAACCTTCAGAGCTCGATCACAACACCATACCAAGTGGACTCCATGCTCTTCTGCTGCTTCCACCTGTGCCCCTGGCCTCCAGATACAAAGCTTCACTCCAGCTCTTCCATTATGGAGCTGTGACATCTTATTTACAAAGCTCCTTCTGATACTTTTCAAGTTCTGACGTTCTACTAATGCTTCAAAAACAGACATGGAAGGAGACCCTTCCTGTTTGTACTCCCAGCAAGCTAGTCAAGGCATTTCTGCATTGCTGTATCACTCTGCAGTTAATTTTATAAGCATAAGCAGAGGCAATTTGTCATCATTTATGGTGAAAGAATTTGAGATGCAAATAAGTGACAGGAAGCATCCCAAGGTTGGGAATAAGATGGTTCATGCTCATTTGCATATCTTTATTTTCAGCTACTGGGACAGATTCCAGGTTGGAGAATTTTACTTGTCCAGAAAGCCTTTAGACAGCTCCTCTAGCACTGTCATAGGCAGCTTCCATGTAGGAATAAAGCTGCTAAGTAGGTTTATTATTTAGAGAGTGTTTCATGGTGCACAGAGGCCCCAGTGTACAGCTGTCCCACGTGGCCCAAGATGCCCCTCTGTCCATTACCTGGGCATTAAGTAGCTGAGAGTGAACTTCTTGGTGGGCCTTGCGAAGAAGTTTGCTCTCTTCTCTGAGTTTAAAGACTGTATCTGCAAGAGAAGAACAAATTTAATTGAGGAGCTGTTTCTGCAATCAGTGTCTCTTCCTTACCATAAATTCCACCGAAACCTCAGAGCTCCTGAATCCACCCTGCAGATCCAACACAGAGCTTCCCTCCAGCTGCACAGAGAAGCTGAGCCTTGAAAGGATCGTGCAAGCAAAACAAAACCACGCAGGCAACATACAGAAAGCAAACAGGACAACTTAGTCCCCAGGGATGCTCATTCCCATGCTGTTAAGTAGCAAAATTGTGCCTTGCAGCTCCCAAACCAGGGTCCTTTCAAGCTCTTTGCATGCTTAGTGCTTCAGTAACAAGACACAATAAACTTATGTTTCAGTGCCTTGCAGATAATTGTGTACCCTCCAATAAAAAGAAAGACAGCATCAAAAAATGTCAGCCTTATTTTGGAGCCCGAAGCTCTCTCAAAATATCACCATAACCGTGCACACAGTGATTGCCCTGCAAAAAGGCATTGCTGCATCTGCCCTGACAAGAAGGGAAGTTTTCTCCATAACAGGACAGTGCTGTAGGCCAAATCACGTGCTTGACTGCAGCTCAACAGTGGCTGAGCTGTTATTACAGTGGTATATCACAGAATCACAGAATTGCCAGGGTTGGAAGGGACCTCAAGGATCATGAATCTCCAACCCCCCTGCCACACGCAGGGCCACCAACCATTCCACCTAATGCTAGACCAGGCTGCCCAGGGCCCCATCCAATCTGGCTTTGAACACCTCTTTCTTAAACATCCATCCCTGGGACAGGACAGTGCCACTGAGGTTGCATGCTGCGTTCTACCCTTGTGGTGAAGACTGTTAACAACAGCAGGAACAAAAAAGGCTCCAGGACTGCTACTGCTAAGATCTCTGGCCATGGTGTAGACTTCCCCCAGCCTTCAAGAGAACCAGAGGCCTCTCTGGTGTAGGAGAGATGAAGCAGTTTCACTGAGCCAATGTCTCAGTCACATCTGGGTCTTCAAAGCATGTTCAAAACCTGGAAATCAAAGCCTTCATGCCAAGATAAGAGGCAGAAATGTGAAGTCTTGCTCTGAATGCCATCACCACGGGTTTTTAAATCAGTGGCATCAGTAAGACAAAAGTTTCAATTGTAACAATGTGGTCCATTTATCTGCAACACAAGCTCAGCAGTGATCAAACCCAACCCTCTGCCTTCAGAACAGGTTGTGCAGGGAAAAATGGAAAGTGCAAAATGAGAGTGGGGGAGCAGCAGAGGACAGGCTGTGCTGGGGTGTGAAACGCAGCATAAATAGATGGCAATTTTTACAAAGTTGAGGAGAAAATAGATCATAATGCAGCAGGAGGGGGAAGATGCAAACAGGATTAAAAAGGCTCCTGTTAGCAACATCAGGAAGCTTCAGCAGGCTCGGCAAGAGCATATGTTAATATCTTGTTAATTAGCAATCAAAAAACACTTCTGGAAATACCACAAAGTATCAGAAGGAGAGATTCAGAAGAATGGGGCACGAACACCCCAACAGCATCACAACCATTGGGCCACATGGCACAAGAGCATCATCCCCACAGTCTACACCACATGTGCATAGAAAGCTTTGTCAGCAACATGAAAGCTACCCAAAGCTCTGAAGCAAGCTAGGTGACCACAAGGAGCTACTAAACCTAGTTCAACTGCTGAAAGCAGCATCTCATGCTTCCCTGAGGGCTTCAGCCTTCTTCCAGCATACCTGGGGCAAAGGTTTCCTTTTCATAACTGAACCTAGCACAAATCCCTCAGTTCCACTCTAACAACTTGGAGCAATGTCCTCTACTCAGATCTTTCTCGTTCTTTATTCTACCTGCTGACAGAGGCACGTCTTCGATCACCTCTCCTTGGGACATATTATAAATAGAAAGCATTTATGGAACATAAGGAAAGAAAATGAGGTATTAGCAACACTGCTAGTTCTGTATCTGCCACCTCTCAAGAGGCTTCCTTGCTCTTTTGTATGCCACAGTCATCAGTACTTTCTCTTAAGGGAAAAGTTAGTAGCCGTCTTTGAGCTTAAAGCACAGAAAAGAGATAGGATGAAATAAACAGCTGCCTATTAAAGCAGGCAGAGAATATTAATATATCTCAGCCTTAAGCTGACCTTCCTGACTAGCTTCTGTCTTCACATTGCTTTTCTGAGCGTTATTCTTTCCTGTGGCAGAATTAATTTTCTTACTCCATTGGTGGCTGCATATTTCAAGAAGAGAGATTGAATCAAATATTTAAGTCTCGCTTACCTGTGTTCAGGGCTGGCACTGCATGCTCACTGTCTCACATAGGTCCTCCTACAGTGTCTGAAGATCTTTTGGGAAGCCTGAAGAACAATCATTGCCCTCTCCCTAGCTCAGATCTTCAGTCTTTTCCCTGCCTAGTGTTTTCTTGGCTCTCCATCATACTCACCTTGCAAATTTGTGACTTCACTATCCTTCTCCTGCTGGAGTTGGGCATACTTCTGGCTATGGGTCTCCAGTGTCTTACGGTGCTCGAGTTTCAAGCTATTGTGCTGCAGCTGCAGGTCAATCAGCTGCTTCTTGACATCTTCATGCTGGTTCTGAATACAAAAAGCAAAGTCAGTACAACAAAGGAGGAGAAAAGTAATCTAACTGTTGTCAAGTGTTACTTGAGTGCCTGTTTAATGAGTTGCTCGGAGGGAAGAGGCAGAAGAGACTCTGGTTCCTCCAAAAAGGTAACTAAACATGCAGAATAAAAAAAGTGTTGTTCTTATAGTGTAGGAGGGATGTAAAATGCCAAATAAACTGAAGGGAGGTCTCCTCAGAAGCCACTAAAATGGAAGAGAAGGGTGCGAGCAAGTCCACTGCTTCATGAAAGAGAGATGGGGACTTTGGGATGCAGCCAAGAACACTCCTCCCTCAGCACTGAGCCCTGCTGATATCACACCAAATGACTCTGAAATGCTGCATAAGTCCCAGGTCCTTTCCAGAGTCCTGGAGATGCTGAAGGACAGCATTACCTGCAAGGATGTTTCCGTGGTACAGGTAGCACCAGCTATACTGTGTTACAGAGCAGAGCCACATCTCAGTGCAGCCAGAGATGGGCCCACACTCCTCCTGTTAATGTGGGGATCAGATGCCAGGATAACAGGACTCTCACAAGACCACAGACCATATTTGAAGCAGGCCAGAACTCATCTGATAACAGCTTTCCAATGCACTTCTGTCTCCTCCTCTCACTTCTGCAGAGCCCAGTAACACAACACACTGAGACATCCTTTTACTGAGACCCACTGAACCAGAATTCACCTCCTTTCAGGTTCCCATGGTAACCCAGAGACACTTCCACATGCAGTTTGTCAACACCAATTACATATGCAGATGGATTGGCTCACAGGTGAACCCTGGCCTCTCCACACAGCAGCTCCTCAGAACTCAGGCAGCAATTTCAATTGGCCTTTCCATGAAACAAATGTCTTTTTTCCTTTCTTCCCCTCTCTCTTTTTTTTTTTAATTTAGATGCTATCGATGCTGGCATTTATCCCCAGTAAAACAAAGTGTCTGTGTCCTGGGCATTCTCCCCTGGAGCAATTATCCTCAGCTAAAAGAAAAGAAATAACTACGCTCCAAAAATAAATGCAACACAGAAGAAAAAGCCTTCAGTAAGGAAGGGTTCCAGAGAGAGAACAAAGAGGGTGTTGGGTTCATCAGATCACAGGATCAGGAAGAAAAATAGAGAATTAAAAAACTAAAAAAAAGATTCCTGCTCTTGCTTTCGGAGACTGTGGGTATTTACAGCTCCATCAGAGCTGTGGGCAAAGAGCAGCAAAGGGGAATCAGACCCCTCAAATCATTTTGATGCTAACCATCTCAGAGAAGCCACCAGCACTAGCACGTGAGAATTGGTTTTAACACAAAACCCTAAGCAAGTCAAGGAATCTTAAGCCTCATCAGCTCAGGTCAATTAATTTCTGGCCCATATTGTTTCTGATATGCATAATATCTGTCCCCAGACTGCTCACAGCCAGGAAGAAGAGGGAATACTCATCCTCTGATAGCAGCAGGAGACTGAAGAGAGAGGATTGCCTTGGCCGAGGTCACCCAGAGCACCTGATCCTGGTCCAGCTTGTTAAGCACTCAGAGCATCCTCATTCCCATGTATGGTACTCAAGTATACAAATTTCAGGAGGGACCCAAAGATGCTACTCTAGCTGGTAGCTGCAGGACAGGTTGTGCAAAAATACAGAACCCATGCCACCATCACCTTTCACTATGACCCTGCATATCACTGCGAGAAATCAGCTCGTTTATGTGAAACAGGGAACCCCTCATCTCAGCTGGATGGACTTTTGCCAGTGAGACTTTGCATCCCACATTCCCACCGGGGTTTGAGAAGATACAGCTGCTGCACTGCTGCTGCAATTCAGGCACAGCATCTCACCACCATGCCTGGGGAAATGAGCAGGGATGGGAGGAGAGAGAGAATGAAATAGAAATCCTTGAAAACCGCACATTTCTGCTACAGTTTAGAAGGCAGCTTTGTGGGCTGCATCATACAAAAATAGGATCAGTGGTTGAATGCCTTTGCCCACAAGTAAAGGAAGGGCACACCTCACTGCAAGTTCCCAAGTTCCTGCAGATTCAGGAAGCTCATGTGAACAATTCTTTGTTTAAAGCCACCCGCCTCCTTGCCTGCATTCCGGGAGTGCTAGGAGGCATTCTGCAGAAAGATGTTAAAAAAAAAAAATTCCATCTCCACTCAAGAGGGTGAAAGGAGTTATAAGGAGATGAAATCCGGCCCCAGCAGGCAACTGCTCCAGCTGCTATTTTTGGACAGAGCCAAGCCCCTGAGATCAGTCTGCCTGTTGCAGACGTTAATCAGACACAGGTAACTTCACTACAGATCAGAATGACAGCTCAGGAGTCAAGTAAACGTGATCCTTTTTCTCTAAGCAGCAAAAGGCAACTGGAGGCTACAGAGCTATCTGTGGAGGCAAACCGTGACCAAACCTGCCCCATACAGCACAGTGGCCACAAACACAAAAGCCAGATATACTGATGTGACTTCATCCGAGTCTTTGGTCACACCTGGGACCTTCACCTTAACAGGGCTAGTTGCTTCTATTCAATGCTAAACATCCTCAATCACTCATTTTTGCTTCCTCAGTAATGATTGAGTTGGCAGCAGTATTCCTTGTGAAGAGGATAATCCATGTGGGGAGCATTTTTCACCTGTGCTCCAAAAACAAACATTATTCACAGCTCCATAGCTAGCTACAAGCTGAGCTGAATGCAGCATTTCCAGGGGAGAAGCTGCAGTCCACCAGACTTCAGTCCCAAGGGCCCATCTTTCTTTCAGCAGCTGTAAACGTAGTTACAAAATAGATGAAAAATTTATTCCAATAAAAGGAAGCAAGAGAAAGGGAGCCAGGATGAAGTGCTCTCACTGTCCCTGTGAGAGAAGCAAGCTGGACCACGCTGCTCATGTTGTAGTTGCTATGAGGACAAAAATGACTGAAGTGTTCCCAGAGTCTGCAGAGCTGGATAATGCCCAGGAGAGCTGCACTTCCCTCCTCCCAGGGCTGGGATCCAAAGGCAAGCAGCTGGGCGTCCAGCTCTGTTCAGTGGTGCACAGTGCTGCTGGAAGTCAGCCTGCTCTCTGAGCCCCAGTCACCATTGGGCTGAGAACACTCCAACTTGAGACGTTAAGAAAGTCACCAGCAACAACAGACCACAGTTGCAGTGCGCTAACAAAACTCAACTTTAATGTTATGTTACAGTTCAGGTAGGGCACACGATAAGATAAAAACCACTGTGAGCCACTCCTACCTGAGCTGCTTATGTTGCCTCAAACATTCTCCTATCCTAATGAGGCAAGCTGCAGCAAAGAGGCCCATTTTCATGGTAAGGAACACAGAAAAGAATATGCTGAACAAAACTCCTGCGTGATAAGCTGCACAAAGACCACCATTGAAATGAGGCATACACCAAGGCTGTAATCTGATGCAAAGTCCAACAGAACAAATAAGAAAACTCCCATCAACCTGAATAGGCAGGAAGGAACGTGAATCAACACCACAGTGTGGCCTCCTCCCTCTGGGCTGGCACTAGCTGCAGAAACCCCATGGTCTGTCCCAGGCATCTGTGGTAAGGAACAGCCCAGACCTGCCTTCCAGGGCACTTTCTAACTTGCAGCACACAGTGAGCACTGGAACCAGACCAAAATCTTACCTTCAAGATCTTGTGCTGGGAACTGAGGGCCCCATATCTGTTCATAGAGTCTTGCTAGGGAAAAATAAGTAAGAGTCAGTAGTGCCATTAAGTCTCAGAAAAGCCAAAAGCTCAGCTGAGTATGAACATGTCACTTAGTCCTAGAACAGTACTGAGTACACTGCACATCCTGAACACTCTCCATTTCAACATTTTCCTGTCAACTTTGCCACTCACAGGCCAGAAGAAATCATTTGCCTGGAAATGGCAAGAAAGAAAGAAAATGGATAGGCTTTGCTCATGGCCTTTGTTCTCCATGCTCCCTGCAGTATATATTGAACTCAGCTCCCCCAGGACTCTTCTGTACCATGAAATTCTCTTCTCAGAAGAACTCCTATTGCCTGCAGCACAGGACTCCCTGCCACACCAACAGCTGACAATCAAGCCTTCCACTGTGCTATCACACAAGAAAGTAAGCATAGTAGCTCTGGCACAACACAGTCTCTCCCTAAGGTGAAAGAGATCTTCCAACACCAACAGCCTTGCAAAATAAAATCAGCCCAAGTTTTACTTGCACTTGTCATGTCATCTTCAAGACAGCACCCCAGCCTTATAAGCAAGGTAGTACTAAAAAACATTCTTACACGTGTCCATGCAAATATACATGCATACCCTGAGGAATAAACAGTACCTACCTTCTCCTTGTTGAGAGCTTCCTGAGCTTCTAATTTGTACACTAAAAAATCTAGAAATGGAAGAGAAGACAATTAAATGAGCAGGGATTTACACAGACTTGCCTGTGAACATTTAATCTTGTACATCAGCTTTAGAAGATGCATCAGTCTGTAGTGTCCACATACCACCAAGTGCAGGGATGCCAACATTGTTAACCAGCCCTTGTAGAGCTCAGCATCTTCAGATCACTTTGAAGAAGTTTACTATTTCCAAGAAAAAAGCAGTCTAATACCGGATATAGCTATCTCTTCTAGAGTGCTCAGACACCACATCATGGGTGCCATCACTCACAGATTAGACTGAGAATACAGACAGGGATATAAGAGAACAGAACCCACCCTCCAGCTCACAAGCAATAGACAAGTCACCTCATTATTCCCTATTCACATTCCAGGGATGAGCCTCTCCTGGTGAGTGTTAAGTGACATACACACACTGTGCTGAAGGCAAAAAGATGCCACACATGCATCTGCCCACAGCTGGAGGGTTGGCTGGCTGCTGCTCCACCACTCGTGTCAACTTACCTTCCTTTGTCTTTTTGTGCTCCCCTCGCTCCTTCTGCAGGGATCGCTCCAGTCGGGATCTGTGCTCATACACAACTGGGGAAGCAGAAAGAGGCAGAGCATGAGATAAACCCTGACATTTCTTCCCAGACATCATTCTGCAGGTCATGCACACAGGGACACACCTGGATCTCAAGTCCTCCCACAGATCAGGCCAGCAAGTGCCCAAGCAATTAGACATGAGCAATAGGCCTCTTTTGTTTCCAATGGGTTTGCAGCTCTTCCTGTTTCTGCACTCAGGTTTCACTTAGGAACCCACGCTGTGAGCTGGATATAGTGGCCAGTGGCTGAACTACGTGTTTATGGGCCAAGTCCAATTCTAGGACTAAGACAATCAGAGACCGCCAAGTTCTCCGCTCCGCACCAGCAGCATGCAAGAGAGATGTTTTCTCCCCTTCTCCATTCCAACCATTAACTGGCCCTCAAGAACATTAAGGAAGAGTGTGCCAGCAGCTCTCTCCCCCATTAGATACAAAAGAGCATCTGTGCTCTGCACAGAGGAGCAAGAAGATAGAAGGACGAGACTGCTTTGTGCATTGGCCACATGACAAATGGAAGTGCCAGAGAAACCTCCTGATGGATGATTTTAATGCACTCTGATGCCTGAATGCTAACAAAGAGCAACCCCTGAACCACAGCACTCTGCTGCAACAGAAGCTGCTCCATCCCCTCTGTGCAGAGATTGCCACATAACAGCATGGGGCTCCAAGCAATTCAGACACTAGGGCAGTAAAATCTCGCTTCCAAAGCCAAGGACACTGGGACAGATCACACCATGGGTGCTGCACAGTGTCCAGGAAAATGAACCAAGGGGATTGATATCATCACACATCCTAGAAGTCAGGCCAGGACACTTTCATAAATAATACTGCTGATCAACTAGGAATTGCAAGGCTGAGGATCAAACTTAGATCAGAATAGCCCTCCCTGCCTTACCACCTGCAGGTCTCATGCCTCTGCAGACCCTGAAGGAAAACAAAAACCACCCAAAGAAAAGCATCTTGTTGTCTCACCCTTTTCTCTCTAGGAAAGGAATTCTAGCCACCCATCTCCTCAGCTTCCACTTCTGCAAACAAGCAACTATGAAGTTCACAGCTATTCACTGATAAATGGCAGCCCAGCACCACTCACATCTCATAACCATGTGTGGGTTTTAGCCTTCAGACTCCCTGCAAGCGAAGCAAAACCCAGATGTCAGAGTGAGTTGGCTGTTTCTCACTTTAAATATCTGCCAAGCCTTCAGCAAACCTGCAGGCAGAGCAAGGAGAGAGCAGAGACTGATCACAGCACAGCGACAGGAGCGCTGGGTGCACAAATCCAATGCGGCATTGAATGAAGTGGTGGAAAGAAATACTCTCCAATACCTTGCATACAGACTTGCCTCTCTCACAGTCTGTGCTCCCACACCACTTCCTTCAAGAACTTCGAGGAGCTGTTGCTCTGAGTGTTCCATTGGATCACAAAAGATCCAAACCTGGTGGCTTTACTAAGGAGACTCACAATGAATGATGTTTTCCTTCCCAGCTGGAAATGCCTCTTGTGCCCAGAAAGAGAAACCCCAGCTGGTTTAACTCAATGACTTTTAAGCTAAATCATGACACTGGCTGGGTCCAAGGTTGGGATCTTCACAATACTCTGGTTTACCAGCAACAGATCCGTTGCTATTTACAGTCATCTCCAGCAACAATTGAGAGCTTGAGCAAATTAGGGAAAGAAGAGGGATAATTCAAGCCAGGAATAATAAGGGGTTGAGACCTAATGATGTTGGAGATGGTTATTCAGTAGTTCAGTTCTTTCCCAAGCCACCTGGAGGCAAAACCCAGCCAGGTAGGGCAGCAGCTGACACACTGAAGGCCCAGTTTCAAAGCACAAGCTGAATCCAAATACCTCAGCATCCTATTGTCCCCCATGGAGCAACCTCAGTACTTCCAGATGGTGACTTTTCCTGGACTGAAATCAAGCATCAGCAGTACAAGACAGACCAGCTGGCTCTTCCTGGAGTACATTTCTTTTAGATGCTGCAGGGATGAGGACTGTTTTTCAGGCTTGCCAGCTTGGACTTATGGTGAAAGAAGCTCAGTTCAACCCCAGAGTGAGGAGTGATGCCCCAGACAATCACACCCAAGCAGTTGCCCCTGAGGTAACCTCCAATGAGCAGACAAGGAGCTGTCATCTCCCCCACTATATCACCAGGTCTGCACAAACCAGAGAAGTTGGACTGAGCTTTGCAGAGCTCAGCAGCTGCTGCATAAAGCTGTCTTCCTGCTCACCTCTGTAGTGGGACCCAGCAACAGCTCAGCACGCCAAAATGGCACTTATAGCTTCAGCAGACAGGAAGCCAGGAAGTCTTTAACAATTTGCAATCATAAGAGGGAATGGAGGGTGACTGGTGCCTAAAACTAGGCTGGAATCCAGCCAGAACTCAGCAATAAAGCACTGTCACCTGCTGACAAATGAGCTAAAAATGCAGAACTTGAACTGCTGAAACAATGAAATCCCACGCAGCGTCCTGCCTTTGGGGAAGGAGAACAGGCCGGGCCTTTCACAGACATGTTCTCATTTTATGAGATCTCAAAGTGCTGGGTGACTCTGCAAAGGGGTTGTTATCTCAGCTGTGCTGAGATAAACATCTGCCAGGGAGAGTTTAGGAGATCCATGACAGGAGGAGAGTGATTCCAGCTTCACAGGCAGTTCCAGCTAATCACCTAGAGAAAGCTCTCTTCTCAGTTACTCTCCTTGCTGTAGGCACTGAATACTCCTGCCAGCCTCCACCCCATCACATCACAGCCGACAACCCACAGCACCACTCACTGAGCAGCAGCCATACTCCAGAATCATCCATAGCAGAGTTCTCCATGTCCCAGCACTTCCAGCAGTGTCCGGGACCTGGTAAGGAGCCTCCACATGGTCTCAGACACACCCCCACCCTCACCCAACAGGAACACTGGTGAGACAGGGACAGAAAAGCCCAGTAGATCGCTCCTTGTTGCCAACTGGACCGTACTGAGAAGGGAGCAGGTTTCTTTTTGCATGCTGTGTTTTACACTACAGCAAGATCAGTAGCTTTGCTCTTATTCCGAGCAGGAGAAGATAAGGCCCATTCCCCAGGCTGTACGTGGGACAGGCATGGCTGATTCAAGACAGCTCCAGACATTCAGTTCTGCTCCCTCCTCCGCTCATTTTTCTTTTCACTTTCAGCCACCATCAGCACAACCCATGCCCTTTCAGCTTTATTTACAGAGACAGAAGCATTAATTGCACTCAGGTGTATGAATAATAGTAAATACAGTAAATAAACAGCACCAAAATCCACCTCATAACAACACAATCTTTAGCAGAGCTGGAAAAATGAATCAGATGCAGAAGGCAGTTGAAGCCGTGCACCAAGGCAGAGTGGGGCACAAGAGCCCCCAGGGCACAGGCAGCCAGCTCCCAGCCACAGCCAGGCATGCAGTGTGCTCCTACCTGCCAAGCACCTCTCCCACATCATAAAAAAAAAAAAATCTTTGACTCTTAAAATTGTTGGACAAGTGGCTTCTGAAAATACAAAGCGTATCCATGGCAACAACTGTATTTAGGAATCGGAGGACTTGCAGAGGGTTAGAAACCCCAGCAACAGGCGACAGCACTGCTATTCAAACATATTTTGAGAGGAAAAATACTATGAGCCTGTCTCAGCAGTTGGCTGCAGCCAACAGAAGCGGGGTTCCCTGAGGCTGCTGCTGTCAGCCTGCTCCTTAAGGAGCCAGCCCCTCTCCAGGGCAAGCAAGAGATGCTGACGTACCAGAAAGGAATGTGGGCCAGCTCCTGCCCTGCTGGTGTCTGCATCTCGAACACGGGATGCAGGAGGAGACTGCAGGGGCTGTGCAGCACATCAGGAGCTGCAGGTGTCTGAATGCTTCATGGCAGAGTAAGAAGAAATGGAAGCAAACTGTAAGATAATTGCAATAAGCCCATACACTTGCTAGATTGATTCACAATGATGTCTCTCAATGAAACATACTTTCAACAAAACAAAACCCAACAAATCCAAAACCACACCAGCACACACATCACACCTTCCTTCCTGAATTCACAGGTAGAAATGCACAGCCCTGAGCACAGGAAGCTTATGTCCAGTGCTCAGTTTGCATCATGACGCTGCACACAAAACCACCTGAAGAGGCTTAACCCAGAGCCCACGTATCTTGAGCCACAAATCCGGGGTATTTCCAGCCATGCAGCTGATAGAAACAATGTCACTTTGTGTGTGAACAGAGGCCATAACAGATACCCTGCATTTGGTTTTAGTCCCAGGAAGAACTCTGGATTTAAATGCCATAATCTAATCCTGCTCACTCTGAGAAAAAAGCTCTAAATGAGTCCCTGACCTCAGGGCACTGGCACCACATGCCAGCAGCATCGCATCCACATAAAAGCTGTGCTGTGAGCACTCCACAACAACCATCCTCCTGCACTACACTCAACCACTAGCTACACGAGTGGATTTCTACCCAGCCTCTCTGCAGTGAGTTCAGCAAAACCCTCTCCAGAGCCCAAGCCCAGCAAGAGGTGCTGGCAGTGTGGCTCTGGCATGGGCAGGAAGAATCGAGTGTGCAGATCTGCAGAAGAAGAGAGTTCAGCAGTGGAACTGCATAACCTGTCCTCAGCCTTCCCTACTGGAACATCTCCACAGGCTACAGCATCATTCTCCCACAGGCACACAGCTCTGTAAGCAAGGCAGACTGGTGGGAATACATACACCATGCTTGCTTTCCAGCAGCTCTCACCAGAGGATTGGGTTTTCCTGCCCTCACTGCTCACCAGCCTGTACCTGGTAAGGGAGCTTGGAAAAGCCCATTCACCACCTTCCCTGTTTTCTGTGGATTGTTTTTTTTCTTTTTTCAAGTATCCACTCAACCCCAAACAGACTGGCAAGAGCCACAAACCAGTCTCAGAGAAGATGACAATGGGTTTGTTTCCTTGCAAAGGAAACAGATGAGACGACACGATGACAAACTCTACTGATGGACCCCTTTTGCCTCTTCATTCACTTTCTGGATCTGGAGAGCAGTCAGGTCTCACAGCCTGCCTACACAGGTCCTGTTTGCATTTTTCCTGCTCCACATTTAGAATGATGCAGGGTTATCTTTTGTGGTCAAAGAGAACTATGAAGAGAAGCAGAACGGGTGTGATGCTTCACTCCCCACTTCAGTAAATGCTGTTCCCTTTGCTGCTGTGTGCAGCAATTCAGCCTCGAGGCCGTTTAACTCCAGGATGCAAAGCTGGAGGGGAAAAAGCAGGGGACAGCATCGTCTTAGAGCTCTTCAAAGCCAAAAGACGAACCTCACTCCACGAAGGCCCCCCACTCATCGCTGGGCTGTGCTGGCGCAAAGGAAGCTCAGCAGGCGCACGCAGCCGCTCACTCACCTTGGAGCTGGGCAGACAGTGCTTCCTGCTGCTGTTTGTATTTCTGGGCAAGAGCTTCGGCACTCCTCACCTTCTGCTGCAAGTGGTGGTACAGGAAAGCTCCCGAGCCCAGGCACGCCACTGCCAGCAGGCAAAACCCGGTCTGCAGGAGCCCCTTCTGCCTCCTCGAACACATGCCCGTGCCCATGGTGGGGCTGAAGCAAAGCGATGCAGCGCTGCCTTCCTGGCGCTGCTAAAGCATCTGATTCTTTTTTCTCCCACAAGCAGCTCCTTCGCTCCAGAAATCCACAGATCCCTCAGGTTACTCTCTGCAAGATTCGATCCAAGTCTCGCCTTCACTCCTCCCCAGCCCCCGGAGAAGCGGAAGATGCTCCAAAAGCGGTTTACTCCTCATCGCCCGGCGGAGCGCAGCGCAGCCCAACGCCGTTCGAGCTGCGCCGCATTCTTCAGCTGTGAACCGCGGCAGGGTCCGGGCCGGGAGGACCCGGCGGAGGGGGACCAGGAGGAGGAGGAGCAGCAGCAGAGAAACTTTTGCTTCCCATGTGCTGCAGAAGGAGGAGGGGAGGGCTGTCCCACCTCCCCCTCTCCAGCACCGACCGGAAAAAATAAGCCGTGGGATGAGGAGCGCTGCTGCTCCCTCCCCTCTGCTTCCCTCCCCGCCTGCGGCTGCCGGGAGGGCCGAGAGGAAGCGGAGGTCCCGGGGCTGAGAGAGAGTCCTGGGGCTGGGAGAGTGCCCCCGCTGCCCCCAGAGCCGGCACGGAGTCCTCGGCCCCTCCGCCCTCTCCCAGCCGCCCGCCGAGCCCACTGCGAGCAGTAAAGCAGACATCCCTGCTCCCACCCAGGAACAACTCGAACCACCAACTTCTCCCACGTGTTTGCTTTCCCCTCCCCTTCATAAACAAGCCCAAAGCCTGCGTGGTGGGCACTTGTTGCTATCAGGAGGGACACTGACATTAGTTAACAAGGGAAATAGCCTTAAACCTTTTTAAGAGTAGGTTGGCTGGGGCTCTGAGCACCCTGACCTAGCTCTACATGTCCCTGTTCATTGCAGGGAAGTTGGACTAGCTGACCTTTAAACATCCCTTCCAACTCAACTGGTTCTGTGATTCTACATGGGCTGCTCTCTTCTGGCAGAATCCGACCTGTTTTATCCAGGCAGGTGATGATGCTCAGCTGGACAGGGGCAGGAGAGAACAGCCCTCCTGCACAGCACAGCTGTGTGCTGAGCTCAGCTGAAGCCCCCAGGTTTGTAATGAATCTTGCCTGCACCAGCAACCCAGCTGCCAGGTTGGCTCGTCCCTTATCTGAGCTCAGAAGGACGCTTCCTCTGGAGTTCTGCCAAGTTCCATGTTTCAGGCATCTGGAGAATAAGCAAAAATCATTACAATTAATGCTTCAGCAGCAATTCCCATCTAAGAGTCAGGAACAGTTTTACAAATGTTAATCAAAGGAGCTTTGTGGTACTGCTGGGAAATAGCAGAATATCTCCATAATCTGCAGATGGGGATACAGAGGTACAGCATCCTGTAAGGTTATGATTTATCCAAAACAACTATGTTTTTAAGTTATTCTTTTCAAGCATTTTCAGTGGAGTTGATATATCTTTTGAGGCGAATGCCTGCATGAGGGAGAAACAGCCTACAGGAAAGTGGGTGATTTGGATAACAGTCCTCACTTGTATGCAGCTTCCAGAATAAAATGCACTTTTTACAAAAGGAATTAACTGAGTATTCTGTATTGAAACACTCAAACACAAAATAGCTGAAGTTTAGTGCTCAGGCCTTTGTGAAAAGCAGAATCCCTCTAACATGATGCTCACTCAACCTATGCCTGCCAGATCATTTGACATGGGACCAGGGATAATCTTGCTGCTGATTCAGGTATCCTTGGTTCAGAACTCCACCCACACTGCACAGCCCCTTGTGCATCAGCCAACCTTCAGTCCAAATGCTCCTCTGCAGAATTCAGGAATGTCCTGTGGGGATGATGGTTGTTTCAGCATCTCCCCAGGCTGTTTGTCAGGAGCTGGAATGTCTTTTGTCTGCATCTTGAGGATTGAGAAGGCAGCCTGGGGAAAGAGGGATTTGAGTCTCAGCTTTGTATCTATTCAGCACATTCTTTTTTTTTTCTTTTCCTTCCATGCTCTCATTAATTACTTCCTCATGTGCTGGTTCCTGCCTGAGAAATGCTGGGGATTCCTGAGGTTTTGACATAGAGGACTCTGGAAAAGGTTAAAATCCTGAATTAGAGAATGCCAATCTGAGAACTTCCATTGATAAAGTCATCCAATCTATCACTTTTAACTATTCTGCCATTGTAAGAAACTCAGTTACAATTTTAGTTCTGTATTTTTGCACCAGATACAGAGCCAGGGAAACTGCAGCCCGGCAGAGAGCAAAAGGGTTTGTTTCTCACTCATGCTCTGTCAGTGTTTGTGCTGTTTGAGCTGTGCAGACTGCTACTGGAGTTCCAGCAGACTGTAAACAGAACACATATCCCCAGCAGCCAGGGCTGAAATCCTTCCTTTTGGTCCTGTTCTTCCACATTATGTATAGAGAGATCTCGGGGCCCATAGCAGCAGTAGCTGTTCTTTGTTCCTCTTGGATGTTTTCTAATTTTCAAGGAAAGCTAAACAACTGAAGGACCCCAGCGAGATCAGGGTTTACCAGTAGATCATCCATCATTTGAGAAGCCAGCTAAGAAGCTCCTTCCTTTCACAAACTGCTACAACACCCCACATTTCTTGAGGTGCACAGCTACTGAGCCTGAGTGTTCTCATGGAAGTGCAGAGGAGAAGCACCCAGAGCTGTGAAAACTGACCACAGGTGACAGCGCTCTTGAAATCCATATCAAAACCTTTTGTGTCTTAGGGATTATCTGATCATCTCCTTTTGCTTCCTCTAATCTGATGATGGCTTTCAAATAATAATCTGAACAAAACAGCACTTCCCATTGGAAAGCTCAGACTGTAGGTACTTGTAAAAAAAAAAAAAATGCCACTTTTTCCCCCTGGAGAGCAAGCCATGAGTATTAACCATCTGTACAGATATTACAGTCCTGGAAAGGTCCATCACTTTAATCAGAGCTTTGGATTTCAGAGCAGGCATCTAATTGGCTGCAGGAGTGTTTTCAACCAGGTTATGTAAATGCTGCCAAGAAGCCTATTGTCTGAAAAAAAATGCCATAAGAAATGTACCTTTGTGCTAGGAGGATACAGAGGGGAGACTTTATTGTTTAGAGACAGCAGTTTCACAGCTGTATTTATAAACCTACCTGTCAAACTGGCAACATCCACAACCCTTTTTATGCAACTAAGCAGTAAACTATAACCTAAATCCTTTATGGGACTTGCAACTGACATCCAGGTAGACACACTTAAAGTATCAGTGCCCAAATATTCGAGGGCACAGGATGAACAGTTGTCCAGTGTATAAGAAATGAGGGGTACAAACATTTAGCAAATGAGAGCCTTAAATTAAATAGTTCTCAGGAGCAGCCTTCATCTCAGCCTCTCCAACAATCAGTGGTGGGAAAGCTGAACCATTCCATCCTTCCCGTAACAAGAAGTGACAGCTTCTAATTAGGATTCATTAGAAGGTTCCACAGGGAACCAATGGGGCCATTTCTCATAATGTATTTTTCACATTTTTTGTCTCAGTATGGCATGCTGGCCCAGCTATCTTGGTTATCTTCATCAAGCCTACTTGGAATAAGCTCCTTGAGGCCATGGCCAATCACACCTCAACTCTGGCTTAGTGTATGGAAGAGTTCCACAGCCAACAATCAAGCTCATATTAAACCAGTTGCAGAAAGACCTCTAAATATCAGAACTTGTTACCTGTCTGCATTTCCAGCTCTACTTGTCTGACCAACATAAAGGAATCAAAGTACTATTGCCTGTTTCCTCCCTGCACTAATAACAGAGGCCATATTTGGAGATAAAATCTGCACAAGTGCCTGTTAGTCTCATAGATCCTGTGGCTGTACACACAACAGCCCATTTGGCATGCAGGCACTCGGTTCTTGCACGAAAATGCATGTTCTAGCCAGCACTGCCTGCAAGGCCAACCTCAAGAAGCAATTATAATCACATAAGCTCTCATTCTTACGTAACACCAAGTAACAAACCTCATGGAAAGCAGCTCTCCAAGCTCTGTTTGTATGATTTAGAAAAGAGAAAAGCCCCTTTGGTGCATACAAATTCAAGGCCTCTTGACTTCTTGAGATGAAGGACTGTTAATGGTGGGTTCAAAAGAGCACTGCTGAATATCCCAAGGAACACAATATTGGACAGTTAGGATGATACTCGAGCTTTTTACCTCTGAAACCTTCCAGTTTGCGCCCATCTTTCCTTACTCCTTGCTCATCTGCCTGCTCAGATGGTCCTGTAGCAAAGATGTAGTGTCCCTTCTGACAAGTTCCCCAGTGTCTGCACCAGCAATAGGATTTCATGGCTTGGGTTTGCAGACAAGCAAAGCTAATGTCTGCAGTGATCTCTAAACCTGGACCTGCAATGGGCTGCCTGCTTTTGTTAAGGATTGAAAGGGTGTGCTTGCTTTTCATGTGTTTACTTTTAAAAAGTGACAGAACTTTACGAGAGGGTTTAATTCTCCTGCTGGAAATCTGGATATTTCATACAGGGATTGTGTACACAGCATACTAAGTACAGCCAGAGAAGCATAAAAACCTTTTTCCCCTTGCAAGGAGATTCAATGCCAAATATTCATCTACAGCCACGCAGAACTTGATCGCAGGCACACGAATAAGTTGCTCAAGTAATTGCAGAAGCAGGAAAAATGGAAGATTAGCTTCCTTCTCTACTCTGTGGCTGGGAAAAGAAGGCAAAATCTTGATTCATCACTGATGTAATCCCACTGACTTCACTGCAGTCACACTTGGGATCACTTTGGGATATTGAAGGCTGTGTTGATGCTGCAGGATGCTGCACTCCCAAGCTTTCTCATGCATTAGCATTCTGATGTGGTAGAAATTCATGCCGTAATACAGCACTGAGAATCTTAAGATAATAAGGAGGCAAAGCTGCCTGCTGTCACCATTGCTAGCTAATTATAGCAGCATGGACAGACTTCCATTGCAGAATTCCATGTGCCACATTCATCCAGTGTGACAAATAAATGTTAAAAAGAGAAGACATTTTTGATTTTGGAATCCTCTAACTTTAAGGCTAGATTAAGTAACTGAATGACCATCTGCCTGTTTTTATCATGCAGCTTTCCCTCTTGCTTCTAGGTGTGCATCTGCTGAAGTGGGTGGGGTGGAAGTCAGGGAAAGGGCTAACTTTCTTAAGGACCATATCGTGTCCATCAGTTCATAGCAAAAGAATGAAGGAACAATACATTTCTATTGTCTTTCAGCTTATATGGGATTAGAATGCTATGTGCTCCTGGTACTATTTTGCACTTCATTTCTATTTGTGAAAATGACCGTGTAACAGCAACACAGAATCTGGCCCAGATGAGTCTTCATGTTGTCAACAGAAACTAGCAGTGCTGTTCCCAATTTTTGATGGTATTACTCCTTATTTATGGGTAGAATAGTCCAACACACACAGCACTAATATTTAATGTATGAATCAAAGTAAGCGTGTCCTCTTCTGAACCAAAGAGGCAGCTTTCACCTTCCCTAGACATTCTTTTTAAACAAACGAATGCAGACAAGTTCCACAGTGTGCTGGGAACCCTTCCAATCAGTTTTTCAAATACCCACTGCAAAATGTTAAAAACAATATCACTGCCTTGGTCTTACTTGCCTGAATAATTTATTGAATGGTCACAGGCCAATTATACTACATTACTGTTAATTATGCTATTTTAAAGATGGAAAATCTCCACCAAATTCAAGAGTTATCAGATTTACACCCCTGTATGTCACACAAAGCTGGACTCATGCTTTGCCTATTATTTATCAGTTGCCTTATTTGCCCTTAGGTTTATTGGATACAGATGGCATCCCAGGATAGACACAGACCTTTTAACATACACATCTATTAGCTTTGAAAAGACTCTTGGTTTATTTTAAATCTCTTCTTGTTTAGACTAGTTCCCAAAAGGCCAAGGCTCAGGATTAAAGGAAATCATTCAGTTCTTAGAATCTCAAAGATTCAAACCCTGAAGTCTGTACTGACCTGAAGTCATACTTTCTCCAGTAAGACATGTGGTTTAAAAAAATCAGGATCGCTGTTTTTCAGTGCTAAAAGTTGTTGGCAAGGAACAAAAAGGGATTCCCCTTGGGTGTGGATTCTATTAGGCTGTGCTTCCATTTGCTTCAGAGGAGAGACCTAGATGTGGAATTGGACTTCCTCAGAGTTAATTCCCAAAGCTGAGTGTTGGATGTAGGTCACTTTCTGGCTTGTTCTGAGACTCAGCTGAGTTTGAAATACTGCAGTTCTCACTAAAGAGTGGAAGCCTCACATATCCTTTTTGTTCTATCCAGGTCATTGCTTCTGAAGGCATTACCACAAGGCGTAATCATAACCTCAGCACAGATCTGTAATACGTGAATCAAGGAAAGGTGCCATTTCCAGGCTTTGCTTTTAAGGAGATAATTCTCTGAGCCAATCTTTCTGCATGCAAATTCAGATATTAAGCATACAAAATAGGCAGAACATAGCTACTGAGGAAAGCATCCTATATATGACCTGAAGACACATCTTGCACAGCCTGTTTTCCCCCCAGC